TTTGGGTCTTTAATTATGAGTAGTAATAGGTTTTATAACATTCAGACCTGTTTTTTCAATGAGATATTAAAATAGTGTAAGTCATAGTTTTGTGTTCCCCCCCATAAAATATTTTTTTTACCGATAAGCTCTTTTTCCTTATGTGATAAGTTTATTTACTATTAAAAAAAAAAAAAAAAAAAAAAAAAAAACAAACTATAACCAAAAATTATAAAAGTTATCACAATATTGTAACATTTAAACAAGACTTAAGAATTAACAAGCATATAGGATATTTAGGGAGTTTATTTAAAAAAAAAAAAAAAAAAAAATCTCATTGAATAATTTTTTAAAAAAATCTTTCAACATTAGTTTTCAAGATCACTAAAATTTAAAAAAAAATTAAAATAGAAACAATCTCACACTGATAAATTTTCCTGACTGAGCAAAAAAGCAGAAAAATTATTTTTTCTGCATCACAATAAAGATGCCTTTTTTGGGTAATAGGTTATCTTTATACTTTGGGTGAGGGAGATCTTGTCTAGGAGTTGATAGTCACATTGTAAACTGTTTGCAACCTACAAGGTAATATTTAGAATTGACAATTAAAGTTTACTCTCCTCCCACACACAGAAGAGTACAAATAAAAAAATTGTGGGATAGCGACCTTGAAAAGTGGTACCAGTCATTAAAAAAAAAAAAAAAAAAAAAAAATCTCTGGGCATAAAAGATCATCTTTGTTAATATTTCATTTTGACAATCAGATTAACCTTTAGCACCCAGCATTATTCATAGATTTTACTTTTCAAAGTGATACTAAAAATGTAAATTTTAAAATAGAATTATTTTTTAACATCCTTGTTCTCTATTACATGTCTATTCGTCTATAAATGCTCTGAATAGATTATCAACAGAGATAAAGTCTTTGGTAGCAAATGTGATAAATGCAACATTTTCATTTTCCTGAGGCAGATGAAATGAAGAGTTTAAATTCAACTTTAGAATTTTAGTAAAATTATTGACAAAAAAAAAAAAAAAATTTTTTTACTTTATAACAAATTAAAAAAAAAAAATTAACTCTTCTTGCAAAAAACTAATGAAAATTTGAAACATTTTTTCTAAGTTAAAACAAAAAAAAAAAAAAACAAACTTAAAATGTCTGTTATATTAGATACAAAGAAAACTAACAGACATTTTAATTTTCTTTTTTTTTTTTTACTTTTCATAGAAAAAAATGATTTAAATTAATTTTGATTACTGTTTTTTTTGCAAGAAGAGTCAATTGTTGGTTTTTTTTTTTTAATGTGTTATAGGTGGAAAAAAAAAAAAAAAAAAAAAAAATCAAAGCAAAACACCATCTCAAACATACAGCATAGAATCCAACTAAATTAGTTTCAGAAATATACTGGAATAAGATGTTCAAAGTCTCAGAAAATGGATCAAAATGCTAAAATCTGAACTAATTTCACAATGGATTTCTATTGAAGCTTTATTGAAATTATTTTAGATGGAATTGGACTAGAGTTAAAAAACCTAACTTATTATCCTCAACTTTCTCAGATACAAAATATACAGTTCACTTTTCAAGATCAATTAAAAACTTAAGTCTCCTCCATGTTTGCTTGTGCTATGATGAAACAAAATACAAAACAGTTGGTTAAAGCAAAGTAAATTTTCATTTTTGCTTTGTTGCTAAGATGTATTGAGGGTTTTTTTTTTTTTTTTTTCTCGTGTAGTAGAGAACTTTACTCAGAATCAATATACTGTTTGGATTTAGATATATATATATATGAAAAAATAAGACTGCTTTGTTTTGATTTAAAAGAGAAAGAAGCTTGAAATAAAATAATAGAAAGTATGAAAAATATTGATGTGTGTGTGCGTGTGTATGTGGGGTGAAAATAGTAAGTTTCTTTCTCAAATACTTAAGAAATATCTTATGATATCTAAAAGTAATTTGAGAAAAAAATAAATAAAAATGGAGACAAATAGTTTTCTATATATTTGAGCAAATTTCTGTCATCTTTTTTGCCCATAACTACATGAACAAAAAAAATTAAGAGAAAGACTAAGTTAAAAGGAACAAAAGAATTGAAAATAACCTCACACAATTTATCACTGGCCATTAGAAAAAAAATTTTTTTTAATTTTCTGAAACACTTTACCTCAGCTAGATATTTCTGTAAAAAAAAAAAAAAAAAAAATTATTAATAGGGTTGGATGACAATGGCAGCAGAGGTATTGCTCATCAAAGTAAAAAACCTTCAGATATCTGTAGCAATGGTTGTGGTTGGTATCCTTACAAATGGGGCAAGGTGGAAAAGGCTGAAAGTCAATTGGAAGTCTATTTGGGAGGAGGGGGGGGTCTTTCTGCATAAGTTCCAAGTGTAACCAAGGGCAGCATTTAACAGCAGTGATAGCGGCGGTGGTGATTGAAGGAATAGTAGTGATTGTAGCAGTGGTCAGGCTAGAAGGATGAAGATAGAAGAGTCATGACTGTGGTGGGTCAACAGCAGCCCAATCATTTTAATGTTATAAGATCCACCAAATTCCCTTTTGGTTGGGTCATGTTCTCTGGGAAATAATTAACCAGCAAATCAAAAAGTTGGGTCCTGCTATGAAAGTGTTCACTCACTTCACTGTCAGCTGGAAAAAAAAAAAAAAAAAAAAAAAAAAGATGCATAATTTCATTTGATGATAAATCTTGGTATCAATCTTATCTATACTATTACTATGTACGATTATATTTTTTTTTTTTTTTTTTTTACAGTGTTCTACTTAGGATTAGAGTGTATTATCTGTGTCCTATCCTTTGTTTATCCAAGCTAGAATCAATTATGTAAATCATTTTAGGAGGAAATGTGTGTGTGTGTGGGGGTAGAAATTAACTACTACCAATACTGAGGTCATCTTACTACCACCTTTACTATCAACTACTTTTAAGTGTGTAAAAACAGTAGAACTAGAGTAATGTGCATTGTAAGTGATTCTATTCATTTTACTAGTTTCAAAGTGAATTACTAACCCCTACAGAATTTGAAAGTCAGTTACTGAAAATTGTAATAACTGACACTAAATTTGTATAAAGAAAAAAAAAGTGAGTAACTATTTAGAGTACTGAAATGTAACTGGTAGAATGCTACTAACAAGTTACAGTTAGAAATTGCTCCAACACATTTGCAAAGTATCTGAAATACAATAGAATTGTTCCCAAGAAATTAACTTGCACTAAAAATATAACAATGCTAAAAACACTGAAGCTGATAGCATTGAAATAAAATCCAACCACAGAATCAATAATTAGAAATTGATAATCATCATTAACAATGATGCAAATGGTCAGATACAACTGTAGTATTCAGAGAGAGAGAGAGAGAGAGAGAGAAACATTATCACAAACTCTTGAATGAAAAACCTCTTCTGCTTTTTTTTGCTGAGTATGAAAACAAAATAGAATAACTTTAGCCAGATTCTGATTGGGAGTTTTAGTAAGATATTTGAGAATGAGTTTCCAAAAACTTTAACACATTAAGAAGGCCCTGTTCACTTTCTATATGAATCAAGATGATCAATACAAATAAAGAGGGGCGAAAAATGTTCATTTCTACTGTCTGATGAATAATGATACCTAATTATGTTAAGATTAAAGGGGGGGGGACAATCAAAGAGTTAAGCTTAGTAATTTTTATATCAAGTTTCAATATTTTAGAAGCCCATTTACATAAATAAAACATTTGATTCTTTCTCCAGGGAAAATTTTTTCTTGGATGAAACAAGAAATTTAAAGATTTTAAAATTGCTTCTTACATTTCTCTTTGATAAAGTTTTTATATTTTAATTTGGCAAAAGGATTGTATGATGCAAATAACTGATTGTTATATTTCAACTATAGGAAATTATTTCTGTTAACAGTTTGTATTGCTTTTCATCAAAAATAGTTGCAGTCATTAATGTTATCAATATCTAGTTTGACAATTAGGTATTAGTATTTTGTACATGCAATTTAAGTTTTATTTAGTGCAAACTTTAAATAGAATATTACTTACTTTCTATCATCTCCTCATCATCTGATTTATCCTTGAACAGAGTTGAGGCTAGAAGCTGAAACTAAAAAAAGTCAGACAAAATTACTATTACTTATTAACATCTGATCAATACTTTTGTCAATTGGATCTTTCTTAATGACATTCACCTTGTTGCAGAATAAGGTTTATTTAATGGAATAAGTTTCATAAGAAAGAAATCCACAATAAATAAAGTCAATTTGTACTTATCTTTACAGACATTTAATTTTTCTTTTCATCTTCATGGTTGTTTTTCTTATCACGACACTCCTATTATTTTTATAATCTATGACTCTTAAGAAAACGGCATCAGTGGAAGATGAAATAGTCGAGGAGGAGATATAAAAACTAATCCTGTATTCTGCTTAACAAATATGGAATGGAAAAAGATGACCCAAATATTGGGATAAAAAGCAACAACAAAATCCCAAATAAAAAAATGGAACAGCTTAAGACATTGTCTTTTATGAAACTAGTTTTCATTAATGTTTTTTTTTCAACTTTGTCACATATTGTATTGTTTGCAAAGAATACAAAACAACATTAGTAGAGGATATAACAGCAAGTTCATTTACATAAGACAAAATCTAATAGCATCTACAAAGAAAATGGTCAAATGGCAAAAAAATCTAAAGTGTAAAACATTGTCAAAGTTTGGATGAAGGTGTTAATAACAACCTAAAATAAATATTCAACTTTTTCAATTATTAATATATTTCTATTTAAAGATTTATGGTTGTTAGAGTAAAAATGAAGATTTTGATATATTTACTCGATTGTTTATTTGAGTTATGGAAAAATGGTTAATTTTTGTAATTATATGATGGCTTTGGCAGAGGAGGGGTGTATTCAACATTTGATAATTTTGCAGCAATATGTTTTTAAAGGTTTTAGGCAGATTTGATCAACATTTCTTTTCATGGTTAGTCATAGGGAATTGTAAATGTAGAACCACCTTACAATTAAGTAAAATAATAATATTTATTAAGAATTTATTACAGGAAATATCAAGTTTTATAGAAACATCATTGGCAATTACGTATCTAGTTACATAACAAATAAATAAAAATAATATAAATTTTGATGCTATATTCAATTTGTTGTTGGGTATTTTTCATTTTCTCCTTTGGCAGCAATACTTTTACTAAGAATACTTTTAGAATACTTTTACTAAGTTGAACAAACTGGAGCTATTTTGTTTATGCTTTGTTATCTCTCTTTTCCACTGTTTTTAGATCATTTTCTTCCAGTCATTTTGATGGGCAATAGCAAAATTCTGAAATTTAGAATGATCTTATTCCATTTCAAAAATAAAGCCTGTAAAAAGGAATATTTTAAATTAATATATGACCAAAAATAAAATGCTTTTGACAAAAAAGAAAACCTTAATGATTTCACTATAATTATGTAACAATAATGTAATGATATTTTGCAGACAAATCTATGGTTTATGTTACTTCATCTCATTGCATGGTTACAAACTATAAACCCAAATTGAGCTTGAAATTTTGTGTACTCAGCTCTAATTTATTTGAAAATACTTGGATATGATATAATAATTTGCACTGAAAAAAGCAATTTGATCTCTTGTTGAATACACCACCTCCTCTGCTGAACGTCATATAGCCCTGCTCCTGACAATCAAGTAACCAAAAATTTGAGTAATTGACACTCACTTCAATGGTTCTAAGGCTTTTTTCCTCTCCACACACACAGTAATATACAACATAACAGAAAGTGAAGTAAAGAAAAAAAAAAAAGTAGTGTGTGTATATATATATATATATATATATACACACACATACATACATACATACATATTAAAAATAATTCAACAATAAAATTTAATGTAATATTTTTCAAGACAAAAAATTTTTTAAGCAAGACTATTACATAAATATTACAAATGAAGCATTTAAGAAAATTCTCTTCAGCAGAAATGTACAAATTATTTAAAATATTTGAATACATTTCAATGAAGCTCTTGACAGAAAGAAAAGACAAGTGATGATTGGAGTATAGTGAAATTATAACAAAATTCTAAGTTATGAATAATGCACACAATTCTTGTGGTCATAAAATTTTCTAAGTTTAAAATTAGTCAACAAAATGTTAGCTACAGGCATATGGAGTGAATATAAAAAGAAAGTTTTTAATTTTATTTGAACAAAGATACAATTACTAATAAACTAAAGATTATTAAACAACAGATTAACATACAACACATGAACTGAATGATAACATCACTAATATTCCAATAACAATAAAAAAATAAAAAAGATAACTGAAGTTATTTGCAGTCAACAAAATTATAATTAATAAAGTAATAAAGTAATAAAAGTAATTCTCGTCTCCAACTCCATATTCTTCAATGCATATTGAGAAAAAAAAAAAAAAGCAGCTCCTTAAAACTCTTTATTTTCTTTCCTTCTTTACTTTTTCTCACCTCCCTGAAGAGGACTCCTGCAAGTTGAAAGCTTGTACACATCCTTAATTTTTGGATATTTTTTTTTTTACATCTACAGAAGCCAAGTTTGTGGAAGGTTATTCACATTTTGGAAAAGACAATCAGTGAATTCAATAAGCACAGAATGTGTCTCCTTTCTAATAAAACTTGTTTAAAAAGATAATTCAAGATAATAATAATAATAATAAAAAATAAAAAAAATGAGTTTTAAAAATCTTGAATAGGTTGTGTAAACTAATTATGCTAGTATGTAATGAGATTTTAATTCTGACTAGGAAATGCTGAATGTATTTTTACCTCTTTCGTTTCCTGTGGATCTGCATGATCCACCATGTCAGCCAATTCTGTTTGTAAGTAGGTCACAGCCTTCACCGGATCATCATGTGCAATCTCCTGGAACTTGTATTTCCGTATAAGATATATACACCTACGTAGTAGATGTTCCTGAGATGGCCGAGACAACTAGAGAGAGAGAGGAGGAAAGAAAAAAGAGAGCATGTTTAATTCCAGAAAAATATTTTTATAGAGTATAATGCAATAGAAAGTATTAAAAGCTATATTCCATTTTTTTTTTTTTTAAGTTGTAACTACATTTTATTAATTACATTTTTAAATTTGCGAAAATAACTGAATTATTTTTTTTCTCCAGTTACCAATAAGCAGAGAACAGTTTTGAAATTATTACAACAACATTGTTCTATAAAGTGAAAATAAATATATTTCTGTTTAACCCGGTCACTGCTGCATTGTTAGCTGACTGTGCTGGCCCATTTATGAGGGGAATAGGAAATTGTAATTTAATAGAAATAAATGACTATAAGAGAGACATATGGTGATTTCTTGTGAATGTCATCATTTTGGTTTGAATCAGATACTCTGCAGTACAAGAGTGGGTTGAAAAATTCATAGGCTGACTATGAAGGAGTGATGCTAAAGCTATGAAATCTTGCATGCGTTAATTTCAACTCTTATTAATATCTGGATGGTTTCTTTCTGGGTTAGGTTGGTTTTCTGGCACATTAACCCTGTGGGTTACTTAATGCCAAATCCTGTTTTTATATGATTTGAAAATGGATAGATTATAGGTATCATTGTTTTTAAGATGAACAGATCTCATTTGTTTGCAACACAGTTAAAAAGTGATTTCAAGTATTTGGTGTTTTATATTTTTTTGGTACAGCTCTACTTCCTTTAGGAATCCAAAAATGTTATTTGGATTGACCTGTTAATGTTTGGAGTGGATTTCATTGAAATCAGTGCATTTCATCAATATATGTTCCACTGTAAATGGCGCATGACAGCCAACACAGAGTGGAGGATCTTCTCCTTTAAGTAGATACAAGTGTGTTATGTATGTATGGCCAATGTGGAGTCGAGCAAATGCTACTTCCTCCTTTCTCACTTTTCTGTAACTCTGGTAGATAAACTGATATCAGACTCTTTGAAAGACTTAAAAAAGTAACTAGTAGCAACTACTCTTGAAAAAGGGACAAAATTTGACATTGCAGCATTATCAAGCACCTGCAGAAAATGGGATTTACCCCCACCCCTCTCCAGGACATTCATGCTGACATGGTTGCTACATTAGGGGACAAGGCCCCAGCTTTATCAAAAAGTGTAAAAGTGGGCAGCTCAATTTAGGTGGAGAAGGGAGAGTCTTGAATATGATCCAGGGTCTGAAGACCCTGCAAAACAGCTACCACCAAGGAAAACATTGATCATGTTCACCACATGGTGATGGATGACAGGCAATTGACTATAAATCAAATAGTCAATGCTATTAGCATATCCCATGAGAGAGGTGAGAATATTCTGCCCAATGAAGATTTCTGCTCAGTGTGTGCCACGTCTTCTAACACCTGATCAAAAGTGCACTAAGCTGATCAGTACAGGAAAATCTGACATTGTTTGAAGACAGAACCATCTAACTTCCTTGAACATTTCCTAACCCAGGTTTAGTGCTCGATTCATCAAAGAGACAATCCGTGCAGTGGAAACATCCTTCTTCACCTGCTCCAAAGAAGGCTAAGGTCATTTCATCTGCAGGGAAGGGGATGACCAAGTTTTTTTTGGATGCAAAACGTATTGTATTTATTGACTAACTTCAAAAGGGCCACATCATCAATGGAGAGTGCTATGCCAACTTGTTGCGACAAGTTACGAATGGCTATCAAGACCTAATGCCCAGGAAAACTGATGAAAGGAGTCTAGTTTCAATGGTATCAATGGCTGCTGTTTGTAACTGTCTTTGAACAAGTTGATCACCCTCCTTATTTTCCAGATTTATTGCCATCTGTTCCCCAACATGAAAAAAAAAAAAAAAAAAAAAAAAAAAAACACTTGGTTGGGAATCTGTATCGCAGTAATGAGATCATATCTGCTGTTCATGACTTTTTTCACCAATGAGATCCAAACACAAGCAACACCGATGAAAGAAGTGTGTGGGCCACAAGGTGGGGACTATAATGAAAAATAAACCTCATTTGGTCACATTCCATGAGAGTACCTTGGTCAGCTGACCCTTATACAAAGCTAAACAACATTGTTATTACTCAGGAGTATGCTTAGTACATTAGAACTGTAGCAACCAAGAGAGCAGGCATGAATCAGGTCAGAATTCTCAACAATAGACTGTATTCTGGTAGTTAGTCAACTACAAGGCAAACAAATACAACTTGCCTCTGTTTTGCCTTAATTAACTATGGAAAGGTATTTGACTATATAGTTCACCCCCACTTGTCACAGCACTGGAGAAGCAAGGAGTGGATCCTGCTTACATCACACTACTAAAGGATCTTTACAATGATGCTACATCCACTCAAGGATTACACCAAAACAGTGACAAGATCAAGTTAGAAAGAGGAGCAAGATAAGAATGTTTACATCTTGTTTACAAGATGTTATCATCAACATAGTCAACTGGGAGAACAAGAGTATCAACATAGACAAACTCCTCTGACTTCCCAGATGACATCTTCCTAATAGCCAATGCACTACAAGACTTAGTGGAGATGTTAAATGCTATCCACACTGTGAGCCAACTAGTAGGCCTTAATATGCATCTTAGGAAAACCAAGATCATGTTTAGCAACCACACTAAACTATCACCAGTTATTGTAGATGGAACGACCATTGAGGAAGTAGACAGTTATGTGCACCTCGGAAAGAAGAGTTGAAAGAGATGGTGCCCTATATGCAGAGGGCTAAAGAAGGACTGTGCTTGGCTGGGTGGTTTTTGGAAAAGTTTATAGCACCATAAGTTCCAAGTCAACAATCAAAACCAAGAGAAAATTGTTTAATGAATATGTTCTGCCAGTGATGACTTCTTGAAGTGAGATATGGACGTTCAGTAGCACCACTACAGAGACACTTGCAGTGGCCCAACATAAAATGGAGTGAATCCTGTTCAGCATCAATTTATGTGAAAGGAAGAGCAACATCTGGATTCAACATCAGACTGGAGTGAAGAACATAATAGAGACCATCAAAAAAAGGGCAAACATAGATGGGCTGGCCAAGTCTCTTGTCTCGGAGACAACAGGTGGACTATGAGAGCAAAAAAGTGGACACCAAGGCAGTAGTAAAGAATGTGAGGACAGCTAAAGGCAAGATGATGCCATAATCTGACTTGATATTTTGAACACACATAGACCAGTATAGCCAGAGATAGGAAGCTGTGGATGTCAACCTCAACCAGGGAGGGGTTCTTCCAAAAGGAGTGATAAGACCTTCGATTTGGATTATCTATTATTGTACATCTGCTGATTTGGAAATAGCTAGTTAGTCACTAACACAAATGCCAGGAATTAACATTTCATGCTACCTTGAAAAAATATATACATTGGCAGGAGGTAATGTAAATTTCGTATTGACGTATCCAGTATATCTACAGCAGCGGAAGTGTTAATGGTCATGAAGGAATTCCTACATTTATATCCACTGGTAATACAGGTCTTCCCCTCACACCATAAATATCATGAGCCTAGTTGAGGTTTTATTATATTTGATGGCAGAAAAGTCCCACCTTTTCCCACCCCACTAATATCAAAATTTCATAAATTTGTAATATATACAACAAAAACAAAATGGAAGTGACTTTTTTTTCTTTTTTTAAGTAAAATGTGTTTGGTTAAATATCAGATGAACTCTGAAGAAAAAATATATTGCAACGGCTTAAGAGCCAAGAATTATTTCTATTGATTGATTTTAAAATATCCTTTTGTTAATTGAGGATTTTAAAATAAGAAAATGAATAATTGTTTAGAAAGTACAGAATATGACTTACCTTCAAAGCCCAGAAGTCATCAAGTCTCATCTTAGGAAGATTGTCTTTACCAGGATTGCCACCAAATAAATAGTGAACCTACAGAAACACAAGAATTAAAATGCATAAATTAATATGATACTATTGTTGGCGATTTAGTAGGATTTGAATCAACAGTCACTTTTAATGGCTGGCATTTTTTTGTTTATTTTCCTTTTCCCCAAAACTCAATGGCATTGGGAAGAACACGTCTATTTTTATGCCCCTAGTATCTAAAAATGCATCACACACAATTAAAAAAAAAAAAAAAAAAAAATCTAAGACATTTACAATTTTTATTGTCATAAGTCGAACCACAAAGCTGAAACCCAGCATAAATTTATTAATATATCTCTGAAGCAAGAAATACTCAAAAACTAAAGTTCATTGTAGGTAATAAAATAATTCTATGTTGTTTTGCTGCAGGTTTTGGGTCCTTTCTCTAAAACCTAAAAATAAAATGCGAGAATGAAAGCAGTATTATATTTTGTATCAATTAATATATAAATAATATCAAGTGTGTGTATACAAATAAATAAAATTTTAAAAATAACTCATTTTTTTTTTTATTTATTCAAGAATAAAAACTATAATTATACATATTTAAAATCATAGACGATTTGATATATTATGATAGATATATTAGTATTTAGAGACCTCAGATATATGACAAAATGTAAATAGACAAGACTTTTCACTATGAACATTTTTTATACACCCATTCCTATAAATGACATAAATGATTCAATTATATAAAAATTATCTAATACCAATTTCAACTTAGATTTTATCATACAATAATGTCTGTAAGAAAGAACAGATTTAAAATCAATTGATGTCCAGAAATTAATATCTTTTTAGAGAAAATTAAGTCTTTCAAGAAAAATAAATTTCTTTAAATAATTCAATTTTAGTATCAAACTCCCTGATGAGTGAATATATTATTAAAACTCCTAATGGAGACAAATATCTATGACACACAATAAATGTGTGCGTGTGTGGGGGTCATAATAAATGAAATGAATTCATCCCCAACTTTGTAGAGACATGGTACAAGTATGGAGTCACAAATGTGTGTGTGTGATTGTCTTTAATTGTTTAGTTCCATTGGCACAGGCATCAAGATGTATCCCCATAATCCTACCCTGTTAGGGCAACAGGGTGATACTATCTAAGAGAAATCCTTAAAGACCTGGCATGCTTCCTTTATACCATCTCATGTCCAAAGTCTACAGAGAGTTGATCTTAGCCCCAAAATGCAATAGTGAACAAAATTCATTTTATAGATACAGGACCTGAAGGAAAAAAAGAAAAAATCTTTTTCTAAGAAATTTTAGTGATAATAGCAATTTGAACTGTTTGTCCAACTTGAAAATGTTACAGTCTAGATAAGATAGGATTATGAGCAAAATGCAGCTAAGGATAAAATGATAGACGAATTAAAATGCAAAAATTTATAATGAATGAAATTGATAACCCAAGAGTAAATATTGCAACACTAACTTTCCTGTGGTGGTCATAGACTAACTGGTGTGCAAAACGTGGCATTGGTTCCACATGCTGCATTTTATTCCAGTATTGTTGGCCAGGATTTTCATTTTTGTATATACAGGACCTGAAGGTAAAGGGAAAAAAAAAAAGAAATTGAAATGATGAGAGCTGTATAACTATTAGTGCAACTTTTTAAAAAATTTGTAGAGGTGGGGATAGAGAATAAAATTAAAAGAGGAAAAAGATTTTTTATTAGCATTACTTGTTGACTTAACACTCCCAAGGCTTTCAGGTCCTAAATTTACTAGCAAAGAAATCATTTGTAATATTAAGTCTTGGCTCTAAAAGTAGTTTAAATTCACCAGCTCCTAGTATTGAGAGCAAATTTAAAAGACAACTTTATGTATACATGAGTATGTGAGTAAAAAAAAAAAAAAAAAAAAAAAAAAAAAAAGATTAATACTAGCTTTTTGTTTATGGGTGATTACAGATTGCATGAAAGCTAATGGATGTGCAGATAGTGAAATGGTTAGTGGCTTAGAACAAGAAGTTGCTGAGTTGAGTTAAAATTCCAGTAGAGTTTATATTTATTTTAATGCAAAATATCCTTGGAAAAGTTATGGACTCATTCCTTCTACCTCCAGTTATAGGTTAAACAGTAGGATAGACTGGGCTCTTCAGCCTTGGTTGGCAAACAGTCTAAGAGAAAGACAACTCAAATTCAAAACCAGTTGGGCATGAGATTAACAAGAGCTGTGAGCTTCATACTATTTAGTGGAGTCTACAGGACTTAAGTGAGTGACAAGAGAGAGGAATTCAACCTTAAAGAAAGCATAGGAGGAGAAAAAAAAAAAAAAAAAAAAAAAAAAAAAAACATACACGATATAGAAGAAATTTCCATCAAACTTTAAAGTCTTTATGGAAATGCATTTCTTCTTAAAGAGACCCAGAAGATATTTCAAATTTTTGCATGAAATTTTTCATCAGGTAAGTTTGCAATCTTTCAGACATTTTTACTTGATAAAAATAAAAATTTATATTCAATTTTTTCCCTCTAAGCCCTCATATGGCTAAGGAAGGAAAGATGGGAAAGGTGATGTCAACAAATGTAAATTTGTAACAAAACATCACAGTACCATGAAAAGAAGAGAAAATTCCATACAATATTTTTTTTTTTAAATTCAAAGTAAATTTTTTACCTTGACTTTCTTGAGTTAATAGTGATGGGGAGGGGATTATATATATATAACCTATGGTCACTGAATAAAACTGCACCCCAAATCCAATTTATTGCAAACGAGTCAGTTTGTTAACAACCCATAGGATGAAAATAATAAAACCCATCACTAACGATGGGCAAGGAACTCTGGTCAATGGCCAGCTAATTAGAGGCAGTGCCTCAATAAAAGAAGGCAATGGAAGATCTGCTTTTACATTTACAGATGAAAATGGAAATATGATAAAAACATTTTAGAAAAGATTTACTCAAAAGCAAGAATGAATTCCACAATGACTATTGTCCTAGGTATAACAAACTACATCCAACAGCAAGGCCACTTATCAGGTTTTGAAGAATGTGGGACCACTTTTTAATTGTTGTTCCTAGGTCCACTCTGACCCCAGACAGTAACACCTGTTAGGGTCCCACAAAACTGGGGTCAAAACACTATGAAAGTATAAAAAGATATTTTCGTAGTAAAAATACATTTTTATAAAAGAAATTACTAATGCTCCCCAAAAAATTAAATATTGACATTAATGACCCATAAAGTGTTGATATTTCACTAAACAAAGAAAGATTACATTTTTGGATTCAGATTCATAGAAACTGCCAATAGTGAGGTGGGAGTGGAATGAAGCAATTAATGGAATTTAAGCTCATCCGTTTTTAGCCGTCAGAGTAAAAATGGCCACCAATAGGTTAACCTTTGATTCCAGAACTGGGGTCATTTCAAAAATTGTCTAAACATTTGATAAATGAATGTGAAGAGAATATTAATTATATCAGGGCAAAAAAATAAAAAAAAATAAAAATATTAGAAATAGCTATATCTATTTACAGGGGTCTGCAAAAGTAAGATGATAGGTTTGTATAATCAATACAGTATGTTTGGTGTGCACATTTTGTTTTTCATTACTGTTTACCTCCTTTTGCATCCCTCGTATATACACAAAAAGAAAACTTTCAGAATATTAAAAAAGAAAATTTTTTTTAAGAATACACACCACCGATTTTTATCAATATCATACACCCAAAAAGAATTCTTCACATTGTCACGCTTATCTTTATCTTTACTCAAACCCTGCAAAGAAAAAAATAAATAAAAAAAATAGAAAGGATTAATTTACAGTATTTGAAATTGTTATTGCATAATTCATATATACACTCCACACACAACAAATACACACTAAATAATAAAACTCGATATTTAATGAATTACTTTTTTTTTTCTTTTAATTTAACCTTCTTTAGTCAAAAACTAAATATTTCAGCACCCAATGTATACAATTTTGTTTCTCTCTTAAACATCAAAATTCATAATTCAACAAGCCATGTTTTACAATTTGGATTTTTCAAACATTCATAAATCTGACTTTATGATAAAGCTAAGAATAAAAATCGAGAATAAAAAAAAAATTACTTTAAAAAGCTTGAATGAAATGGTAATGTTTTGTGCTATTAAATGTTAGCAAATGTGGGGAGAGGAAGGAAACAGTTTACACACTTTACAAAGCTGAAAAAGCTTTCTTAGAGAAAAGTAATTTAAATAAGACTCTAAGGGAGTTATTTTAAAAAAAAAGGGATGGAAGAACTGAGAGTCAGTAAAGGATGATGGTATAGACATGCACAGTACAGGCCTTAGCCTTCCAAGGAAAGATTTCTTGGATGTTCTCTAGTATTTCTCATCTGTTCTTTTTTAGTTGAAGGTCAAGACTGAATCAATACAAACTTCTGTGCAAATTATGTCTGGCCAACTGAAAGTATCAGGGAAAGGATAGCCTTTCCATTAGTCCAACAGTAAGTAAGAAAAGTTAGTTAAATAGACACCAAACTGAGCAGATGCCTTCATTTGTAGTTAAACATTATTCATTCAACTTGTACCCTTAGCAGACAGTCTTTTTAATCTAGATCAAACTTTCTTGTTAAACAAAGAGGCCAACTATATCTCAGCTATAACTAATTGAGCTACAGATTTGTTGCCAGCCTATTCTAAATTTGGTTGCATCATATCCAAGTTACCTCTATCCAAGTTCATTCTACCTTCTTCAAATTCTCATTTTTAAATTTATAGACACAATCAAGTCTAATGATAAATTTGCAGAAACTTTTACACGTGAAAAAAAAAAAAAAAATGTCAGCGCAATCCCTAACAATGGCATTACAATTACTTGCTAAAACTATTTTCAACAGTTCACCAAAAAGAATTACTCATCTCCCAAATGTCAAACAAAGTTCTTCCTTGTCCCATCACTAATGACAAATGCACAAGTTTCACTTAAAGAGCAGTTTACCAGCCAAGGAACTCCTTCCAAATGACTATCAAAATATGCTAAAAAGAGACAAAAACCTTCTAGACAATATTCCTAGAGTTACTTGCATTACAATGGCTTTCTTGCAAAAAACATCAACACACAGCTCTCCCAGACTTACACATCAAGTCTCAGCCATTTCACATAGTTAAGCAGAGAACCATAATTGGTTTGCTGGTATTGCAGAGTTGAGAAAAACAGGTTTATGAGGTTTTCATCAACAGACCCTTCATCCATAGAGATTTGACGCTGCCAAACCAGAGACAAATCCCCAATATCTCTTGGTAATTAACTTACAAACCCCATAAAATGAGGTGGAGTACAATGAAAATATTGACACTACAAGAATAGATTTTCTTTTTTTTTTTGACTGTTATTCAGCTAGTTGAGGCAGCATTTTAAATTCATTATTAGCAGCATCCAACACACCTCAAATTTGCTGTGCACCTGGACCAATCCTCATGAATAAACTAGGTTGTGCCTCTGAGAAATTAGATATGATTACACACTTTTTTTTTTTTTTTTTTTATTTATTTCTTCAGTTCTAAAGGGCTCTTATGTCTTTTAGTGTATCTGGGCCAACACCACAAATGTCTTACCTCTTACCCCCCCAACCTCTGTCTTTTTTTAAATAATCAGTCTTCCAAGCTTTGAATGGAGAAGCTCCTGTGTCTTGATACTTGTTGTCAGAGATTGAGCAAGTCAAAAGAGTGGGGAGCTCCTTTAATAATAATAAAAACAAACAGATTGTGAAGGAGCATGAATGGTTTTTTTTTTTTTTAGACCTTTTTGTTGGCATAAATGTGGAAGCAACAGTCATCCACTAATTTATCTGTTGGACTGTCCAGGACTGCCTATGTTTTTAAAATGGGAGCCCCAAGAGAGACTGGAGGAATTACCACCAGATCTTTTCTCTTTTCTATCATTCAAACTTTTCCAGAGTTGCCACAACCATTTTTTTTGGCAATAGAGAAATCCAGAAAGGTAAAGGCAAACCAAAAGAGTTAACCAAATTTTCTTACCAGGAGTGGTAGATGAGACAGAATCATTTGTTACTGTAGACCTGAATAAATTGTGTTTATTATTTGTAAAAACGTAATAAATCTAAAATGAATAAATCCTTTTTCCTCATGACATTTTTATCATCTTACAATTGATGGAGAGAATTTAATGAAACCCAATTGATACTTGGTTTTGCAAAGCAAGCTCACAAAAGAAATATTGTAACAAAAATTGAATTAAGTAGACACAATACTCACTGATAAGACATGAATCTCATTCAAATCTGGATCAATTGTGGCTCTTTGTGTGAAGCCTGCAGCAGGTACTTTTAAAAGAAGAAAAATAGTGATTGTTAATAGTGTACAGTTTGTTTTTATTTTTATCACCCCCCAATGGTGAAGGATAAACTGAACCTGTTAGAAACATCAGCAGGACAATTGGTTATTTAATAGCATGTAAAAAAAAAAAAAAAAAAAAAAAAAAAAAAAAAAAAGAAAACGAAAATTAGAATGAGCCTAGAATTTGAATAAATAGTAATTGTCCCCACCACCTGCCAAAGATTAAAAATTATTTTTTTCTCATACCATTTCTTTATGACAACTTCATTCTTAATTGGATGATTTTGTAAGGGTTAATTCAATGGTTCTACTGAACTTTTCATCATTTAACTATATTCTTTTGTTATTACCATGGGACTCCTTCAGATACACAATCCATAAATAGCAAAAGTCTTGTGATTTTTCTAATGAAAAAGGTGGCAGGCAGAACAGAAATGGTAGCCTAAGAAATATGGCCGACACAAAATACCAGTCATAGACAGTATTTTGATATCTATGTTTTATATTTTAAAATCTTCATTTCAGCATAATTTTAATTGGATACTCTTGAAGTTTATGATATTTAAATATTGCATTTAAAAGAAAATGCATTTTTTTTTTATATATATATATGTCAAGTACAATTTTGGGGGAAAGAAGTATAATAAAGAGGAAAGTCTTTGTGTGACACATTTCTACTAATAATAAAATAAGTACATTTGAAAAAAATAAAAAAAGTTACTGGTTATTTTTTTAAACTTACTTTGTGAAGAATCTTTCCGTGTACCATCTGTGATTACTTCAACTCGGTGAGCTTCAACATCATAAGTGAAAAAATCATTCAAATATTCTTTGGATCTTTGACCAGCAAATATATACAGCAATCTTTTTTTCTGGAAAATTCACAAAAGAACAAACCCATGAGGAATCAATGATTAGTGTTGCTTAAAAATAAAAATTGGTTCAACTGAAATCGAACAAGATTGAATATGAAGATAAAAATTATAAAGTACATAATATAATTTGTTAAATGATCCCTGCTAATTATTTCATACATTTTGATCAATGGGAGTGAAGATTTCTTATGATAGAAACTAATATTAACCAGCCATTTAGATATGTGATAATTATTCTGATTATTAAAGTGTGAAGTGAAAAGCAGTACAATAATTAGCTGCTAAAGTGTCAAGATTGCCAATGATTGAGGCAGTCAGAAGTAATCGACAATGAACTAACCTCACACTGTTGATGAGTCATACTTATTAACACCAGGCATTGACTATCAAAGGCATTGCTGAACAAGTAAAATACTGTTCGACTTGCAAAAGTGGCACAAAATTTCTACCAGATTTTTCCTATTTCAAAAAAAAAAAAAAAAGTTGTTGACTATTCTTTCTCTTGGATTTTTTCATACATTGCAGATTGATTAAAGAATCTATACTTTGTCTAAAATAATATAATTTCTAGTGAAGAGATTCATTTGGCCATAAGACTTTATATATGAATTCAGTAATGTACAGAAAGACATTATGGCAAAACCTGATACTTCAATAGGAAAAAAAAAATTACTTAATGGTTTGTAAAAAGGTTTTTGTCATAAAATATACTGTATAATTTCATAGATGTCAAGATAAAACCGGTTTTTATAAATTCTAGTGACTATTCTAGGTTTTTTTTTTTTTTTTGCTTATATCCAGGACATATCTTTTCTGCATGTTCATGAGACCAAAATTAAAACTAGTGCTAAACCAAGCTGAGCATGTTCTAAAAACAAATAAAAACTAAAATACAAATCTACAGATACAAGTAGATTCTTAATTAAACCAGTTCTTATCATAAAATGCTTTGCAACAGTAACCAAAACATCCTAAACTGAAATTGTTCAGATTGTTAATATGACAAAGATATGGACAACAATATTTCGTCCATTGTATGCTGCAGCCTTCTTCATGTGAAATGTTGTGAATATGACAATGTAAATAGTGTAAATAGTTACAATACCTCACCTCAAAAGTATAGACATAACATACAATTGATTATTTTTCTTTTATACCAAAGTTCCCAATACAAAGCTAAAGAACCATTCAAAGCAAAGGGTTAAAATTGCTATAATGAAGGAGGTGTGTGATATGAATAAAAGAGGTAGTAGGAAGTGAAGTCTGAGGATAGATAACAACTGACCCTTGACATGAGGCAGACAACAGAAGTGAAATAGAAAGATTGGTTGCATGGAGCCGAGAATAATCTTGCCTTAAACACCTTAAAGACAAAAGCTGCTGCTAGTAGACTTTCAGAGAAATGCCACAGCCACTGTCCCTTTGGCTATTGGCGGAGTCTGAGTGAAAAAAATTAAGTTTCTGGGCACATGCATTCCAGAGGATTGCTCCTGGACTAGCAATACCATTGCATTAGTCAAGAAGGTGCAGCAGCAGCAACTCTACGGAGAATTCTCAGGAAAAATAATTTACAATGGGAACTGCTGATGACCTACTGCTGCTCTATTAAGAGTTTGCTGGCATACAGCATCACCATTAGATATGCCAGCTGCTCATCAGCAGACAGGGGGACCCACCAGATAGTTATAAATGTTTCCCAGAAAATAATTGGCTGCTTGCTACTCTCGTTGGAGGATATTTCTAATTATTGTTGTCACAGCAGAGCAGAAAGCATAATGAAGGACAGAATGTGATCTGGGTACCCTCAATGTTATTAGTCCTAGGACAAAGCACTTGAGGGACAGCTTCTAACCTTGGGCCCTGTGTAAAATGAACAATGCTGCATGCTGACAATTTTAAATGTCATCCATCCATCCACACACACACACACACACACACACACACACACACACACACACACGGTGTAACAGCAAAATTTTCCATCCCACAAAAATGTTTAATATCTAAAAAAACCCACTAAACTAATTGAGTTTCTTTTTTCCAGGTTTTCAGATTAGACATTTAGCCATCTTGACACCATTGTTTGTAAGAATCACTGAAAAACTCAGCTAAAAAGAGAACGGGTTAAAATTATTTTATGTCAGACCCACTGTCTTCCCAACTGAGCAATGGTGAGAGGAAAAAGATCATTCAGGCCTTCAGTAACATTCATACTCTGGCATAGAGAAGAAAATTGGATCAGGAGGTCACAACAGGAAGAAAGATTATCATGTCAACTTAGAGCTAAAAAGATCAATTAGAAAAGATCCAACTCAGTCCACAAGACGTTTGGCACACGAGAGGAGTTTCAGCTATGACAGTCCAAACAGCAGTGAAAAAAAGACTTGAAAATCATACGTGAAACATGCAAGGCACCTTGTTACTCCAGGACAGAAAGTTAGGTGAAGATCATCTTGAATAAGTTGGAAAATGATCCTGGAATATATATTTGAACTTTATTTCAATCCTTCATGAGCTTCCATTTAGCTATGATTAATTAATGATGAACATATCATTTTCGTTTATGATTGACTATCATGATACTTCTATTAAAGCTTGGAGAGTAATTATACGTTCTTATTACTCAAAGTAGAGTCCAATTGTGTTATAAAAACCTTGGAGAATTCCAGTAAGATATCTTTAGTCATTTCTAAGATTAAATGATTCAGAGCTTAATCTAGAAATTGGACAATTTTGCTGTTACACTCAGTAGATATGTTTTTTGTGTGTTGGTACTGCTGTTTAATTTCATTGTGCATTGCACAGTGACAAGAATAAGAAATAAATAATTCTTGTGTTCAAAACATCCATGCAGGAGACACATGTACCACAAAGTAACAGTTCTTGAGAATAAGTTGTCCAAGTAGAACTTTCTCCTTGCATTTGGAACATGGAAGAAATAAGGGTGATTCAACTGTGTGAAAGTAGCATGCTATGTCTTAGTTGTAAAGGCCTGAATTATGGAACTAAATAATGAAGGTAATCTGAACATTTGCCATTAATCTTTTCCTGTCTTTGAGTTAGTTTTCATTAGCCATTTCATTATGAGGAAACATTCAGGATTCATTGACTAGGTAGTTTGTACTACAGTCAATTGAAATTTATAAAATTTTTCTCTTAAAACTATTTCAGGAAAATAGATTTCTGAACTCCTGTAGCAATCGTTGCTTTTTCCAGTATTGATAGAGGGTTTCATTCTTAACCTTTTGTTGGACATAATGTGAAATGTCAACAGCTTGATCATGTCATTATTTTCTCAGAGTTATACAAGGGTCAGTTGAAAAGTTCTTAGGCTGACCAAGATATGACAGGCAAGTGTACCAACTGGTGTATCTACTTACATTTATATATTAGTCAACCTTTGAACTTTTCAACCAAACCTTGTATGTGCTATCCATTTTAGTTGTTGTTGAAAGTCCTCAAGTGATGTGGTTTCTGTTATTTAGTACCGTTCTGTGATTCTGTAGTGCCAGATCACAAGGTTTGAAGAGGGATAGTTTTCACCAAGATCAACAGGCTTCACTCAAAGCCATTTTTAGCCATTGATCTGAGAAAACAAAATACAGCCAACAATTTAAATAATTTCTGAACAGATTTAACATCATACATGACATCCATATGAAAGTCTGTGATGAGGATATTTAAAAACAGGTTAATATTTTGGTTTTGTATCAATTTGCAGTGTTGGGTAAAACTAACTCAAAGACAGGAAAAGATTAAATAGACTGGGGCTCATTTTCTCCTTGTCATACTCTTGATAAAGTTTGAAAGAGGTTTCCATATTGTGTTCCTTGGCAGATTTTGTGGAGTGATAAAGTTCTGGTATTAGATTGATGCATTTGGAGCTTGGAAGGTGGTTTCTAATGGAAAAATCCTATTGATTATGTCATATGTTACTGTAAGGTCGACTTAGCAGGTATACAATTTCCTGGAGCTGTTTGATGACATATGCTATTATTACATGCCTTAGCAGAATAAAAACTATCCTGGGTTGTGAGGAGTTGACTTTCATTAAAACAATGAGTGCCTAGTTAATACAGAGTGTGGCAGAAATTCTGACCACATAATGGTAAGACATTAGTGGCGATGGTGCCTTCATCTAGCTAATGTCTTACCATTATGTGGGAGGTATTTCTGCTGCATCCTGTATAATGTTCAATACTTTCACCATCCAATTGAGGTACCACTGTATATGTGAGGGTATCAAGAGCTATGTGTTTTGTTTTCATAGTGCATTAATGTATGATAATCCCCACTTTTTGGTGATACATTTCTGATTCCAGACTTCCTTCATAAAAATTGAGAAAAATGTTAATGAATTTATGGAGAAAGTAAGTTATTTTTAAAAAGTTCAGCCTCAATGTCAAGTAATGCTTTTTTTTTTTCTTTTTTTATTTATTTATTTTTTAAATAGCTTTCTTAATTTCATCAAAAGGATTAAATGTATACTAGGCATCTTTAGTTTAGTGTGGTCAGAGTTGAAATGTGAATCAAAGTGTTTTTTGAGACCAGGATATTTCTGTGTTGATTTTGATAGTATGATGTTATTGTGCTTTTCTCCACATTTTAACCTATTGTCTGGCTTCATCAATTCCATTTCCAATTTTCCAAAGGTATTGGTTTCTCAAAGAGAAACTTTTTTTAAAAATTTTCTTTGTTAATTGTTTAGTATTTTCCCTTCCATTTTTAATCTACTTCTATTTGTTTCTTTCTTGCAACTCAGGATTGTCACCCATGGGTGTATCTTTTTCCTTCTAGGTATTTTAAGAATGGCCTTACACACTTTAGCTAATGAAAATATAAAATTATTTCATTATCTGTTGTTTTGATTAACATTTATTGATATCAATCTGAACTCTAATTTATTACAGAATTAGAAACTTAGCCTTTCATTTTTAAGGGCTTAGATGTTATACCTTGGTGTTTTTCATGATTTATTAGAGCAGAAGTAAGCTATTTTGTTGGCTGGTGTTTTTAGTATAATTACAAGTAGGGTGTGATCAAATTCGTACATTCTAACATACGTCACAAACTACCTAAGCCAAGATGGAAATAGTAATACCATAAAGAGAAAAAAAAACATGGTAGAAAAGTAGAGCATATACAGGTTTAAACAAATTAACTTACTGGATGGAAGAGCATCGAATGACCAATTCTCGATCGTACTTCATTGCAATCGTCCCGGAGTTTACGCCACGTGTTTGTTGGTACATGGTATGAATAGAGACCACTGAATGTTGGCTCATGACTTCTCTCTCCTTCACTGGAGCTGGAACAAAATAAATTTACAAACAAAAGAATACACTAAAAAGTCAATTTTAAAATAATGTCCACATTTTTTTTTCTTTAAATGTTAAATGTATTCTTTATTTCTGTTGAAGTCCAGATAGCTAGTTTTTAGACTTTAATACATTTACTGATACCTTGGATATTTGAAGCTTCATATAATGACATTTATATTTTTGTTAGCATTAACATAAAAAAAAAAAAAAAAAAAAAATGATAATATAAGCCTCGTTATGCTATATTTTGGTAAATAAAATTCATTTTGTAAAATTATAAAGAATGAGGCCCCAGTAATTCCTCAAGTCTTAATTATTTTCTCCCCCATGCCAGGTGATACATAATCACTACCTGGTCATACAAAACATGTGACAAAATGTATGCATTATCTGGTAATAATTATGTTATCATAAATGTATTTTTTCTTTTAATAATGTTTTGAAAAATAATAGAATAAATTAAATATTTTTGACATGATTCAGCTAATTCAGAGACAAGAAATTTGCAAAGTTTACTTTTAGGGTAAACTAATTTTCTTATACAGCATCATCTGTAGAGATTATCATACCACTCAGAATTTCTCTATTCATTGACCACAAAAACATTTTACTCTCTTACAAGTTTTTTGACAAGTCTTCTTTCATTATGACAACACAGAAAATTTAAGAGAAGACAATGTTTTATAATTGTTCTTACCTTGTGAGAACTCGTCCACCAAACACATAGATGGTCTGTTCATCAATGTCAATGGCCATTTGGTGGTCAAATACCAGCTTTGGCCCACCCATGGCCGCTGTGTCTTCTGTGATTAAGGTCCATTTACCAGATGTAATGTCATACATGTAGAAATCACTCTAAATAAAATTTAAATCTAACATTCATAAATCCAGTCACATTTTATTTAATACATTCACAAAAGATAAAAAAGTAAAAGGAATTGGACAAAAAAAGTTATAAGCAATAAATTGACATATGAAGAGACATCTGTTCAGACTGTATGCTCAATTTGAAAGAAGTTAGTAATGATTAACCTTCATGTGCACACATAAAAAAAAAAAAAAAAAAAAAATTGTCAAAAGGACAATTATTCCCTTGATATCACTATTACTGTAAACTCCTTTCACTCCCTTGGCAATCTTTCTTTTAAAAAGCAAGGATTAGAATTTTAATAAAACCTAAACATATGAAAGTGGATTTATGCATTTTCTTTATTCTTTATTATTAACAAAGAATTTAAACACTATTTATATATTAGATTGCTTATTTACAAGAATAATTTTATATTTACAAAATTATAAAAATATACAAGCTATAACCATTACCATTTTATAAAGAAATAAATATGAAAAGAATTTTTTTTATTCATAAATTTATAAAAATGTCTGAACAGGAAAATTTAAATACATAATGATTAACTAATTAGAAATTTAATTTGTATTCTCCACATAAATTCACTAATAGGTTTCATAGTTATTTATAAAATGGTAAAAAATAAATATTGTGTTATAGTTAGTTTACATATTTCGATAATTTTGTAATTTTTTAATAAGCATTTTTCAAATTTATTTCTTTATAAAATGATAAATAAATCTTTATAAAAAGGTAAATAAATATCACAAGGTACTTAAATTGTACATATTTTTATACTTTTGTAAACAAATGTTGCCAATGAATTCAAAAATGTATACAGTATTAGCAGTGTCAAGGGAATAAGCATGCTTTTGACACTGTTTTTTGCAAGCACAAAGATTAACTATTGCCGAGAAGTGGTAGTTGAGTCAAATTCATGAAAAAAAGAACTGAATATTTTCTTTCAGATACAAACAAATTTACATTTATTTACATTGTTTACAGGTGAACAATTTTCCTCATCTGTATTATTATGTTTTGGACATTGTGCCCTGTGGGTAACCTTCAGGGTATCTCAAGCTGAACCCTTTATTTAATCTATTGGTGGGTAGATTCTTCTCATTTCATTGCTCATGTCTATCTCTTCTAGTTTTTAGTACTACTCCATTATTGTCTGCTCTATTTCCACTGAATTCAATTTCACACTGCCCAGCCCAAGGACTGAACTCACAATTACTATGTTACCAAGTTCATGAACCAATGCTTTAATCCACCAGACAATTGTCATGTGGTACAATTCCGTGTGGAGACCTTTGAGACTTAATTCCTCATCTCAGAAATTCAGACGGAATTTATATTTAATAAGGAAATTATACATAAAAAATATGACTATCATAAAAGAGAACACAAAAGAGAACACAAAAAAAAAAAAAAAAAAAAAATTTCCTAAAATATATCAGCAGACGAAATAACACAAATGATCAGATATATTTCAGAATAGTACACAAAATAGAATTGTATCATAACAGCTAATATAGATAGATATAAAAGACGTTATCTAAAGTTTGTGCAAAACAAATATAGCATGGAGTTCTGCTTCTACCCTTTCCGAGATTGTATATGCCCAAGGTGACAACTGAAGATGTAAATAACATAGCAATATCTTAGGGTAAGTGTCCCCTACCCCCTCACACATTGTCAAATTTCAAAATATTTTAGTAGCACCTGTATTTTTAGAATATATAAAAAGAAATAGCAATTTAAAACATTCTTTTAACTTTACCTTTAGATTTTCCACTGACCGTAAAGAGGAGTCGAGGTATCGTCCCAAACTGAAAATCTGTTTACGTTCATAATCCAGGCAAATTTTATGACATGAACGAGCACTTGGACCTGCCTAGAGAAAAAAAAAAATATTAAAAAATTAAAAAGCCAGAAATTGGGCATGATGTCTAGTCCCTATTAAAATTTTCATAGTTTTAAAAAACTGAGACTCATTTGATTATAGAAACTGTGAAAGAGTAAAAATGAACGAGTTGTACAGAAATAACCATATAGAGTGTAATGGCATCCATACTGAGCAGATGCAAGAAAAAGTAATCTATTTATGACAAGTATTATCAAATATTCACTTTCACACAAATGTCCTTAGGAAGGGCATGAATCCATCTTTTTTCATCTCAGCTATGAGTTAAATAGTAGGGTAAACTGGGCTCTCTAGTCCTGAGAGAGAGGGAGGAGAGGGGATAGAGGGAGAAAAGGGATAGAGAGGGAGAGGAGAGGGAGAAAAGGGATAGAGAGGGAGAGGGAGAAAAGGGATAGAGAGGGAGAGGGAGAAAAGGGATAGAGAGAGAGAGAAAAGGGATAGAGAGAGAGAGAAAAGGGATAGAGAGAGAGAGAAAAGGGATAGAGAGAGAGAGAAAAGGGATAGAGAGAGAAAAGGGATAGAGAGAGAAAAGGGATAGAGAGAGAAAAGGGATAGAGAGGGGGGAGGGGGATACAGGGGGGGAGAGGGGGATACAGAGGGGGAGGAGGGGATACAGAGGGGGAGGAGAGGGGAAAGGGGGAGAGGGAGGGAAGAGAGGGGAAAAAAAAAAGAAAAAAAAAGGGAAATCTCTCCATCATTACCGAGAAGGTATGACACTTCACAGATAAAGAAAAATCTGAAGAGAATCATGATCAGCTATATCCTGAAAGGACATGGTATTTAAGAAAAAATAAAAATAATAATGATGATCAAATAGAAAGGAAGCACAGCTCAATGACCCATTTGATACACAGTAATTTTGAAATTAAATCATTCTAAAAAAATTGTTCAACCAACAGATCATATTTCTTGTCTTCTACAACACTTAGGTCAATCCATTTTTAGTCTTTCCTTATGTGCACAATCCAGATGGAAGGAATAGTTAAAGTTGTCTCCAATTAATGTTTACCATTTAGAAGGACAAATTCAAGTTTCATATTAAGGTTAAGGAGCTTAGTTAACAATCTGACGAAGGTGGTGACCGATAACTATACACCAACCAAAACAGAGCACAAAAAGAGAATTTACCTCCTCTTCTGTATTCTTTGACAAACAAGACCATGATTGGGATGGAACATGGTAAGCCCACAAATCTGCCAGATCCTGGTTACCATCCCAACCACCATACAGGTACATGGTTTCTGTAATTAAATTAAAGCACTTAAATTGTAGAGAACATCTTAGTAATTTATTACAGAAAAAAGAAAATAACCTGACCAAATGAATTTTTAAGGATTCTTTATTCATTATATATATTTGGGCAGCAACCTTTCTTTCAAGCATCTTTCATTGAAAACAGCCAACAAGGAAGATTTAATTAATCTTAAAAATTGTCCATAGTTGTTATTCAGAGAACTTTTGGCTAATTCTATAGCCATTATCAAGGATGTTGTTTTGGTATGGTGAGTTTCATGCATTGTCTTCTACATAGTAGTTTAGCATTGTGGAAATCTGCAAAGGAGTGTATGTCTTTATGCCTGTCCTACTTTTCTTTATAGAATGGGTATTTGTAAAACAGGGTATTCTTACCAGATACGAGTGCCAGCAGAATTAAATTAATTTCTTAGAAGTAGTAGTGCTTTGTTATTACAGCACATTTACTTTCTAAATAGTTTTCTCTTGGTACAATTATTTTGTGACACGCTTATTAAACTTACCTAAAAATTCCCACTGGGCTTCTATTTCATTCCCAATTTGGTTTCATGTTACATGACTAAATGTATTGATTGTAACAGATGGAGATATATGGTTTAATGCAGAAAGAAAATAATATTGTCTTATTAAGAATAAATATAACTAGACCTGCCCGCTTTCATAATTTGACGACTAATTCCAACATTTGATTGAATGCAAATTTGAAATAAAAGATCTGAATCTATTTGGGGTAAAGTTTAAAGACAAATTCATAAACATTTCTTGGTAATAATAACGAGCATAATATTTTACATAACATCTTACCTGTGAGGGGATCAATACACATTTGATGTCCACCTCTCATGCCAGGCCGGTGGTCAAATGTGGTATTGTTACCTAAAGAAATAAAAAGAATTCAAAACATAGTGAGATGGTCAATTCATTAAAAAGGTGGTGAGAAACAGCAAATATATCAATTATAGACTTACATAAAAGAAACAAAGTATTTTGATAGATCAAAATTAATACATCACTTTCAAATAATCAGTAATATTCTGATTCCAATATGAAAAAGACTTTTATGAAAACAGCATCATAGTTTGATTTAAAAGAGAAGACAGTAATGAAACTGGTAAATGCCTAATAATCTGATGGATGAGCTAACTAAAATTTTAAACCTCTCATATTCAAGCAAGCAACAATGAGAAAACAGTAAGATGCTTAATTTAAAAAAGCTATTAAACAAGTAATCTAATATTACCAAATAAAATATACTTGCAGTAATTTTTTAATTAAATAAAAATAAAATAAAATATTCATTATAGAATATAATCCAATGTATTATAGATTTGATATGAGAGAAAGGCTATCATATAAGATATATAAAATTAACCCCACCTTGATCTGAACTACCAACCTGGAGGTAAGCAAGTTACATACCAATACACCAGCATTCTGCTGCTGAAATGTTTGGATAAAATTAACTTTGGAAAGCTGTTTCTTTTTAGTTATTCCACATCACACCAGACTTGCTTTGTTTTACATTTTAAGAAAACAGCAATAATGCTTAAAATCTATTACTGCTTTTACTTTAAAAAGATCACACCACAATATTTTAACTACTTTTTTCTTTTTAAAATATTTTTTAAAAGCTATCAGCTCATGAATTTCATCTTCCCATAAATTAAAAAATGGGATTATATTTTAATAGGACATCCAATTAGCTGAATTAGTTATATATAACTATGGTGTATTAAGCTTCTTAAAACCGCTGAATTTTTATTTATAAGCATAGCCAATTTGAATAAAAAATGTCATCAATTGTGAAGAAGAAAAAAAAAAAAAGATTTTAGACATCCAGAGAAATGCAAATGAAACATTTATCCTCTCATTTTTCACCAGGTACTTCACATATTCAAATATATTTGAATTAAAACCTTATCAAATATTAACATTATTTTTAAATGAAAATATTGGAAGATCATACTCAATAGCTGTCCAAAAAAGAAATACTAACTTTGGTGATATTATATAGCTAGAAAATCATTCCATACAATAATGAATGAACACGAGAAATTGAATGTTTACAATGTACAAGATTGTGCTTTGATATTTAGTGATGTGAAATAGAATTTATCTGAATCCATTTCAGTTTTGTTTTTTTTAATAACTGTTAAACTTCATTTTATAAATGCTAAAATATTAAAAAAAGTTTACCTTTGCTGACTGGTTCAATTGGTGTCCACTTCGGCTTATAGTCTTGCTGGCTAATATAATGGTGAAAAAGCCCATCTAGAATACAAGGATTAACTTTGTTAGTCAGAGACTATCAAAATAGGCAGACATAGAAGTTATTTTACAATTTCAAACAAGTTTTCTTTGTACAGAATGGGCAAGTCAATTTTTCCACATTTGATAAAAAGAATTATAAAACCATTTTAAATTAGTTTGCCGATTTTGGAACAAGAATATACCACAATCATTTAAAAGATCTATGTCTTTAACTTTTGTGAGATGTCAGAATATTGCAAAGATTATTACAAAATGTCCGATATACCAGCATTTTTCTATTTAGAACTGTTAGAATATATAATAGAACAATGAAAATACATTAGAGAAATTTGTCAGGAAAATCACAGCCACAAACAGGAAAAATTAATCGCAATTTTAATGTAGCAATTCTATCCTATGAAGAGAAACTGACACAATGTAAGTAAAAAAAACGCATAAGGAAAAGAGAAAAGATGAAAAGGATGAAAGAATAAAGGAAGGTGAGTGTGTTACATTTGCATAAAGAAAAGGGTGATTTCCATTGTTAAACAAAAAAACACACACCACTAGATCTCATCATATCCCCCTTAACTTTTGTAATCTTAGGGCGGATCTGCATGCAGAAGCCACACTAACTCTTTTCCACAATGGTCTATCAATGGCAGTCATTAGCAATTCTGGTACAGTCATATTTGTCCAACCAGTTTTTGCATTGGCATCCTCTCATATGTCCATCTTCAATCATGCCCTTGCATGATGGTCTTGCACAGGCTATCGTGCCTTGTAAGGTGTACAAAGCACACCTTTTTTTACTCTGACAGTGGCAAAAAGAGATTTCTGGTGTCTTACAAACTTTCAACGCTTATCTGCACAAACTCATTGGTTTTTTTGTTCCCAATAGAAAATGCCAAAGAGTTTTTTCATGTATTTGATCTCAAATGCTTGGATCCTTCTCTCTGTATCTGCCAACAGTGTCCATATAGGAGAATGGAGACTACCAGCAATTTGTACAGTCTGTTTGAAAGCTGATTTTGCTTCTCCATATTCTTGTCAATTTGGCCATTGCTGCAGCAATCCATGTGCAGGTTTCAGAGTTGCAAGTACCATCTTTGGACAAGCTTGCTCCTAGATCTACTTTAATGTAAAAAAGTAAAAAGCTATTTAGTTGCAAATGTGCATATGTACAAATGGTTGTAAATAATCAGCTAGATTTAAGTGGTGCCAATAGCCTTGTTCAGGTGTCACTATCATCTGTTCAATACCTATTCTAAGAATAGATCATGCTTCCTTTGCAGAAGAGATGGTGCATACAGAGTGGATTTTAGGCGAGTAAGTGGTTGAAAACACTCTTCCCAGATTCAGCAGCAAAGTCCACGATGACTGATAGAGTAAAGGGTCAAAAGCAATAAAAAAAAAAAAAAAAAAAAAAAAACAACCGATGCTATTTTCACACTTCAAAAGACGTGTGCTGAGGGTTTACCATGCTGACCCATGCTTTTGAATTCAGAGTTATCCTTCTCCTAGACTGGCTGCAAAGGTTAAAGAGCCCAGCTGGAGAGAAAAGAGAGAGATTCCTACTTCTCCCTAAAGTCATCAGTGTAAAGTGAACACAAGAGCCTCATCCAGAATTTGAACTCTACTTGCTGAATTCATTTTTTGCACTTATATAGCTACACCACCATTATATTACATCATCATGGGTACCATCCCAAGTGGGGGTTGTGGTGATATCTTTTCTTGTCAGAGCAAACCAGAAAATGGTAGCAAATATCTTTCCTGTTGGCTACTATGTTGAAGAAGAGAGAGAGCCCACTCTTTCCATATGTTGAACAGTTGAAGAAGGCTGTAGAATGATTTAGCTGAAATGTCACAATAATAAAAGCAAGTAAAAGGAGATCAAATCTCAGCAACTCAATGATAATGACTCATCTGAAAATTATAGAATATAAATTTGTTCACATAACTGATGAAAATATTCTTGAAATAATATACATTATTTTTTTTATTCGTTATTTGATTTGACATGCAGGAGTAACAAAAACAGATCTAGTATAAAAAGTTACATGTTCAAATTTCTTAGGAACTAAGTAACAAAAAGAAAAAAAAAAAAAAGAAAAAATAACTTAGCTTATAGATATAGCAATTCTCACGAGAAAAAGAAGTCAGTTTGAAGAATGCTAACAATGAATGAAAAAACAAAAGAGGGGTATCATTGAAGAATAAAGAATAGATAGAAAAGCCTACCTTCACCAGCACAGGTGATCATTCTTTCACATGCATCAAAATCACCTTTCATCACCTGAACAAAAAGACAAACAATATTTCTTATTTAATTTTTTTTTTAGCTTTTGTATACGAGATATTTACATTTACACTTAACTTTTTGCAGAGATAGTGTTTCATAAAACGTTTCCTTGAAAATACTTTGAAATCATGAAACATTCGAAAACATACTATGATTATTTATCAAGGTTAACTTAGAAGTTAACAAAATAAAAGAAAAATTGTATGTATTTCAGGATAGCAAAAAAGAGACTAAATGAAAATATGAAACATTTTAACAAGCTACTGGATTTGAAAAATAAATAGAAAGAAGTGGACAATGTTGAAATTAAATTTAAACCAGTAAGACAAGCATCAATAAAATAACCAGGGAGTTTCAGGGAATTCTGTATCTTTTTTTACCCATAAGACAAATTTTCCTTCTTCCAAAAACTAAATCTTAGCACTTTTCAAAGATTCTAATGATCTATCAGTAATTCCTCAGTAGGAACCTGAATGCTGCATCAATAGACTGGATCAACAACAGACAATTTTCTTCAGGTTTCTTTTTCTTCGTTTTATTTTTGGGGTAATAGTATCAGTTCTTGGAGGAAGCAAGTAGGAGAGAGAGAACAGATGTCAACAGGTCAGCTATCTATCCTCATGACATAAATAGCTTGTCTTCCTGTTGAATCCATGGGCACAGAAAAGTATCTGGGAAAGAAAGGCTCAGACAAGCATCAGAGCTCTTGACTTCTCTACTGCCGCAATTGTGCTGCTCATTTTTGTGTATTTTGTTTTTTTTTTGGGGGGGGGGGTAGGGAGAGGGAGTCAGATGTCAAAACTAGACAATTTATCACCACCAGGATTCCATGCTCATAGGTTTGAAGCAACCCCTACCTCAGTTTGAATCGTCAAAGTTCTGACCAGTACAGCAGGGTCTGGAACTATATCCACGATAATTATCATTTTACCATTTTTGTCTAGCCTAAGCATCCTGTAATGCAGTATTTCAGCCACAGTTATTTATCAAAGTTGGCTTTAGTATAAAAGCCACAAATATGAAGTACCAAACTTAATACAGTAGTAATAATCTGCAAAACTCAATTACTAGATGTCAAGATACCCACTGCCCATAATAGATTTATGTAAATAATATGAAATATTCAATAATTGCACATGCTTATACAGGATCAAGGGTTTCTATCCATTAGCATTTTGAAAGGCTTCTCCACAAAACTGGGAATTATGAGTGTGGTTCTGAAACACAAGATCCAATAAATAGATTAGATAATACATGGCTGTATGAAAATTCTAAAACTGAATGCAGGCAATTTTCATTTTTTTAGCAGCATATCAACTCTTTATGGGTCATCTAATGCTGAAATTAGATTTTTTTGGCAGCATTAATTTTCTTTACAAAAATGTATTGCTGGTATTTTTATACTTTCATAGTGTTTTGACTAGTTTTGGGGGTTAACTATTTGCCCAAAGCTGGGATCCTAACAGGTGCTACCACTCCAGGTTAGGCTGGACCTGCAGACAACAGAAATTACACCCCCCTCTCCAATTACATTAAATATTTTTGTTTTTGTCAAGTATAAAAAAAAAAAAAAAAAAAAAAAACTGTCCCATATGTGCTGATGTAGTTTGAGGAGAAAGAAAAAAATAAAAAGCACTGTTATTACTGGAAACTATGTTGCTCAGTAAATAAAAACTTATTCCCTGCACGGCTGTTTAAAAGCCTTGTTTTTGTCATATAGGAAAATCCAACATGGCGCGTAAACCAAATATTCGGCAAAAAATCTCATTTGTCAGTAACATTTTAAACACCTCATAGAATGTAGAGTTTTTAAAGAAAACCTATGCCAAAGTGTCTTCCTGAATCCTTGATGAGTTGGCTGTCTGAAAATGATAATATCAAGATGAAATAATGGAAACTGACCGAGAAAAATACAATTATGTGCAACAGGTTTTCGATCGATCAGTAAACTTCTGGACCTTTTAGGGCGATGTTATAGGATCCAGACGGCTATTGTTTGCACATAGAATTATTCACTGGTAATTAATCTTCGATTTGGCTGTGGAAAATGTCACTCGGCGGTTAGCATTAAGAAATTATGCCCAATTTTCTGAGAAAAATCACTGTTTTTTTATGAAAAAATATTTATTTTCGCTTCAAAATAACATCATTCAAAATTCATTCCTTTCTCTTTCATTTGGCATGAACATCATTGAATAAAAGAAATGGCTAAATGGCCCGGCGATGAGAAATACGAAAGATATGCGGCAAAAAAAACAATGTCGTCTGCTAAGTGTTGTTGTCATCACCCCGGGTCACGGGGTGTTAAAAACAAAACTCATCAAGCCATTGTTCAAACATAGGTTATATCAAGCCCATAGTAATGTTGAACCCTTTTTTTCTTTTTTCACTCTTTGCTTTTATCTGTGAGTGGTGGGTTTTATTACAACTTGTTCTAAGGTTTATTGCTGGCTGACCTTTGACCCAGATGTCAAAGTCAATTAGGTTTAATTTTCCTTATCGCTGCTATTTTTTGGGGGAAAAAAAAAAAAAAAAAAAAAACTTTTGGTTTCTGGCGGTTAGGAATTGCATATAAATCTTTTGCCTTTTACTAAAGATTTCCGTGGCCGGGTGTCAATTTTTTTTAACTCTTGGCAGTCATATAATTAAAAATTACCAATGGATTTTGTTGCATTTTGAACCTCTAGGAATGTTGATTTCCTTCAAAGCTCTCAATTTTATGCCTGAAATAGTTTGATTATGATTTAGGCTTTCTGATTTTCAAAAAAAAAAAAAAAAAAAAAATTAAAAAAGAAAAAAATAAATAAAATAAAATAAAATGGTTAATTTTCCATTAATGGGGAAAATATTTGTTTAGAACAAGAAAAAAATGCATAATTTTCACATTTTACCCACTGAAAAAAAATTTTGAGTCATTTACACCAGCCAATTTTACTTTTAAATGAAAGAATATATCTTTTGCTTTCAGAAAATAACTAGTTTCATGGGGTTCAGATCAAAAGTTTCCTTGATATTAGTTTAGATGATGATAAAACAGTCATTTTTCAATATTTTACCCCCTATAAAAGTAGAAAATCCATTTTTTGAGAGAAAATAAGCTGTGACAAAATGACTTTTGCCATTTTTGTGATGATTTTCACTTGGGAAAGAAAATTTTTACCATAGGAAACCTGAATTGACTTTATTTAAGTTCAGTGGGGCTATAGGAAACCTCAAACAGCTGTGCCAGATGGTCATTCATAAAATTTAGGTTTTGAACAGTTCATTTTCTACAGCTTAACCCTTTGCAGGTTATTTAAAGCCAGAAAATTTTTAGATTCTAAGAATTTTTTTTTTTTTTTGCAATAATGGTTTTAGTGATAAAAGTCATAGGTGTGGGGAGAAGGTGGATTCGTACCTAATCAGAATTTGATAAAGAAACAAGTAATGTGAATACAAAGTGGGTGATCAATTCTATATTACAATCAATATATAAACTGACCCTCACTTTGTGACCATGATATTTTCTACACATTTATATTCCAGAGAATGTAAATAAGTCTAAAAGACGTGCCTGTGTAGATAATCAGTATTTCATTGATCAATTGATTTGTTTTCTAGGTCTTAACCCATTGCAGGTTATTTAAAGCCAGAAAATATTTTTAGATTGTAAAATTTTTTTGAAATAATGATTTACAAGTCTAATTAGCCCTTAGCTGTGGACAGAAGAGGTAGATTTATACCTTTTCCAGAGGGTATTTGCACACAAGCGAATATAATGAACCCAACAAAAATTGGAACACAACTCTTCAATTAACAATCCCAAGCCATTATCCATTACACCACCTATACATTCGAACTTACAGCACCTGTTATCCCAAAGCGATCACTCATCTAGGTACTGACCAGGTTTGATGTTGCTTAACTTCAATGATCATACAGAAACCAGCATTTCAAAATGATGTAGTCATAAGCCACAGGATTTAGGAATTAACATATTGATAGAGAATTTTCATTTCATTGTTTTGTAGTGTTTGTAGTGCTAACCATATAAAATTTTTAGTATTGCAAGCATTCATAATTTTGGAAGGCAATCATTAATACTCACAGCATTATTCAGCAGTTTAAATTAGATGGCAGTCATTGAACAAAGGTAAATATATCAACGTGTACTTGTTTACATTGTTTGGACTGTTCTCATCTTTATTATCATATTCACATTTCAGCTGTTGTATGCTCCAGCCTTCTTCAGGTGATTGGAATTTCAAACTGAACCCTTTATTTCTTCCACTGGAGTAGATTGTTCTAGTTCCATGTGCCATGCCTCTTCCAGATGTCTCAATTATCCCCTTTTAACTCAACTCTCCAAGTTTCTTTTTTCAGTTTGAAATTCCACTCACCTGAAAATGACTGGAGCATACAATGACTGAAATGTCGTGAATAACAGTTCGAACAATGTAAATAATAACAATACTTCAACACAGAAACAAACAGATATTCGATGTGTACTGTAGTGTATATTTATAAGACGGATGATTATTTAAACAATCAAATTTCTAAATATTTGTTTTTTTTATTTCAATGTTGATCCCATATACTCTTCTCAGAAATGGCTTTTTCATGCTTTCTTAGGTCAATACCAGAAACAGTAACCATTATAAAATCATAATTTATCTAAGGTCAAACCAGAAGCAATGTTCTTCCCAAAATAAAATAAAGTGATTTTGAGGTTACTTACTAACAGGTTATGCAGTTCAGTTAGGATTGGATGTTCTAAAGCAATTTTTGTTTTCATCTGTAATGCTTCATATGCTTCTTTATAATGGTGTTGTCGAAAGTGTTTCAGACATAAACGAATTGCTTCTCGCTCACGGTACTAAACAATCAAGGAAATAAAATTATAAACAAATTGTATTTGATAAAAAGAAAAAACAATACTTATTTGGATTAAATAAGAAATATCAAGTGTTACATAAACGGTTGGGAAATTTAAAATACAGAACAGAAAAACTGATAGGTAATGAAATCCTTCTGGGAGGGGGTGTTGGTAGAAATTGGAATGCTGTGTAACTTTATAAATGAACAGATTGAACACTTTATTCAAATTTGCTGAACTTTTTGGTACCACTTCAAATTTAATGGTTACTAATATAAGGTACTGCTGAAAACTTAAAAATCTTTTCTCATTTGGTCATATTTTAGAGAGAGAGAGAGAGAGAGAGGGTGGAGGAGTCAAACAGAACTTTTCAGCACCTCTTGTAAATTGATTTAGTCAATTTAATCTATATAAAATAATATGCAAAAAATTCTGTCACAGAAAAAAAAAAAACGTATATAATACAAAGTAGGAAAATACATATATATTTTGGAAGTGTATATATACATACATGAATAGAAATAAGCAGCTCTTATGATGTAAGTGCTATAAATTCACATAAAGAAAAAATTGTTCCCTGCCATATTAAAATGGCAGCACTTTAATAAATTATGAATCAAATTTCTGGTGCACAGTGCTAACTATAACTGTTAGTTTCATGCAGTCCTCAGGTGGTTGGAAACTGTAGTACAAAAATGGGAACTTTTATACCCCCAGGCAAAAAAATCTCCTAGTTTTGAACATAAAGTGATTTGTTCTCAGCTGAATGCATACTTTCTAACAAAACATATACTGATTAGATCCTGTCAAGGAGGTAACAGCTCGTTTTTTTTTTAATGTTATTACTTGGCTATGTAAGTCATGGGAGAGTGGTTCACTCAAATGACATTCACCTGTAATATGTTCATAAGACATTTTATGCTATGTTGCATTGGGGCAACACAACGAAAAACAGGTTCAGGTGTCCTGTAAAATGAACAGAAGAATTTGAAATTGGTTTGTATCTTATGATGTAAGTGCTATAAATTCACATAAAGAAAAAATTGTTCCCTGCCATATTAAAATGGCAGCACTTTTATAAATTATGAATCAAATTTCTGGTGCACAGTGTTAACTATAACTGTTAGTTTCATGCAGTCCTCAGGTGGTTGGAAACTGTAGTACAAAAATGGGAACTTTTATACCCCCAGGCAAGTTTGAGATGGAAGAAATATAGCCAGTGCATGCATATCAGGCACACACCAAACACTCACCTAAAAATGGGGGGGGGGGGGCGTGTAGAGCACCAATGTGGCCAAGATCAAAAAAGATGTGAACATGGTAAAAGAACCTACTGCTTGCAAGCAATATATAAAAAGTTGACATTTAATTCAATGCCCACAGGTAATGGTCTGTTTCATGCTAAATGCAATCATCAGGCCATGACGATTGCATTTAGCATGAAACAGACTATCACCTGTGGTGCTGACTTCAATGTCCACTTTTATATTTACATGTGCTGTATCTCTGATATTGTGCACTTTAAGCCATAAATATAGCATACCATAAAACTATATAAATCTCAAAAAACACACTATTCAAAAATCTCCTAGTTTTGAACATAAAGTGATTTGTTCTCAGCTGAATGCATACTTTCTAACAAAACATATAATGATTAGATCCTGTCAAGGAGGTAACAGCTCGTTTTTTTTTAATGTTATTACTTGGCTATGTAAGTCATGGGAGAGTGGTTCACTCAAATGACATTCACCTGTAATATGTTCATAAGACATTTTATGCTATGTTGCATTGGGGCAACACAACGAAAAACAGGTTCAGGTGTCCTGTAAAATGAACAGAAGAATTTGAAATTGGTTTGTAGTTTTTGTTTTCCATTTCCTTCAACACATTCCCAAGATTGTATACATTACAGAACATGGAAAGACACACAAGAACTTGAATTACAGTATTTATTGGAATTTTTGTTGGACAAAATTCAATGAACCAAGAGAAAATGTCCAATTTTGCTAAATGTTATTAAAAATATAACAAGATAATTGGGAGACCTAAAAAAGTAAATATCTTAAATCAATATCTAGAAAAAGTTATACAACATCAAGTTCTGATGAGAATATAAAATTATTGTGCAGGTATTTTTTTTATCAAAATTATCTTACCATATTGTACCAGTTGAGACATGGTTTTACAGCAGCTGTGTCATCAATGCCACGGATTTCTATGTACCAAATACTAAAATTAAAACTGGGTCCCCAGGCTTGCAATGGGACTAAATAAAAAAAAAATAAAATAAAAAAAAATAAAATAAAAATAAAAATGGTGACTTACAAACAAGAGACAAATTTATTTAATGTATTACTAGAGTGTAACTGGTATTGAAAAATTCTTTAAATATCAAGATGATTAGAAGTAACAAAAAATTCAATTTTTCATTAAAACTTATATATGAACATTTTGAGAGTATTAAATAGATTAGACACAATCCTGTCCGTTTATATCTGATACTTGTACACTGAAGCAGGTGAAAGACAATTCAATCATTGTATCAATCCATCACTTCTGGCATTGCTGATTGAGATGATTGACATGCTGTGATATGCACAGAAGACATTTAATTTAAAATTAAATTATCAGTTTCATTTTCTTTAATCAACATAAGAAATATCAATAATTGATTAAGTAAAATTTATTCAAGAAAATTAGATGAAGAAACATTGAAAGTACATTACCATCCTGAGAGCTGCCAGCTCCCCAAATTTCCCAATACAGGGCAGCAGCAAGAAAAAAGTTTTAGAATCTATATTTAGGATAATTACCATATTTGATGTCATACAAGATTGGTTTGTGGAGGGTTTCCAAATCTCAGCTTACTTGATTCTCATTCTAAAGATACTTGAAGGATGTAGTGTACCTGGACACCTCAAAGAATGCAATTAGATTAGGTACCTCCACGAAATCGCTAAAAAAAGAGCATAGCTTGATGAAAAAGACGCCAACCTTGCCGAAAACAAAATTTTATTGTCTAAATGCTTATGTTATTATTAAGAGGAAAGACCAAAGTTTTTTTTTTTTAATTATTTTTAAAAAAATTTCCTTCTTTTTAGAACATTCTAAATTTTGATTAAAATAACCTTGTTTCTATTTGTATCAGCGGAACTAGTAAATAACAGACAATTTTTAGCACGTTTTTTTGGTATGACACACATTAATTTGAAAAATCGTGCAAAAATAGAAATAATTATCGGATGTTAATGAAACTTTCAGGAACTATTCACAGATGATCGAAATTATTATAAATATGTTTTTTTTTATGAAAGTCATGGTAGAAATATTTTTTTAAAATATTTACCCCCCCCCATAACTAATTTTATGAAAACGCTAGAAATTCAATCGCATCGGTTTTAGTGATTACAATAATTAAAAGCACAGGGCTTTGAGGAATGCAAATCATGTTTTTTTTTGTTTTTAATTGATACCCAGTACCTGAAAATCAGCTCTGAATTGTAACATACAAAACTCAATAAAACAAAGATATTATTTAATTTCAAATGCTTTTATTTGCTTTTTAGTTGTTTTTATGAATATGGACAATATTTTCTGAAAGCAAGAAAATTTTTTCGATGAAAAATGAATTTTTAATACAATTATTTGTTATTTCATTAATTATAATAGATTTTACATTTAAGTTGTTAAAATATTATAAAATTAGTTAAAAGTCAGATTGGCTTTCATAAGTGTCCTTATGAGATAGATCTTTTTTTTAGCGTTGTAAATTGTATCATTTTGACTAATCAGAAGATCCCCAGTAATTAAGAAATGTAATTTTGTGCTTATAATCGAGCTGTAATTATAAAATACGGAAGACCAACCAGAATATAATTAAGTTGCGTTATTTGAGTTAAGCATTGTTCTCCGCTGTTAAGGCCTTTACTTTTGAAACACGTGTGGAGAAGTTAATTTGATTTTTCAATTTCAACTGAGAAGGGTACCTACAAGTATCAGTATCATCTTATGAAATTTATATGATCTTATTTTTATATTAATCTCAGTTACGACATTTTCCATAAATGAAATATCAAAATTAATAATAAAATGAATGCAAATACAAATAACAGTAGAATGTAATAAATGTACATAAAATTATAGTATTTTATGTACAATTGGATAAAATTTCATAAGAAAGGTACCTATAAATTAATTAGATACCTTTCTTAAGAAATATGAAATTTAATGTCACTCTTAACAGTTTTATTTTAATTTCTTTAGAATATATTTCCCATAAAGCATCATAAACGTAAAGGTGAAAGCTAAGTAAAAAAAAAAAAAAAAAGAAATAGACCGCTGAAAGTTTTCGTTAAAAATAACGGGGTAAATTATTTCACTTTTCTCCTTCCGTAGAACAAGTTAGCCTCATGGAATTCGTAAATATATCATTCATCACATGTCAAGAGACGCGAAAGTTTATGACCTGCTTTGTTTTATTTTCCAATTACATCTTTTTGGCACAAAAGCTAAGTTAAGTTTGGTTCAAAATATTTTAAATAAACATTATAATTTCTGATTTTCTTAAAATAAGTTTTGAAAAAATGATAATTGATATTTAAAAAAATTTCAAAGTCAGATTTCCATTTTTTTTTAAAATGGAAAAAAAAAAAAAAAAAAGGTCAATTTTGCCGACTCAAAAAAAACTAGATTTTTAACGAAAATTTCGGACGTGCTAGGAACGATTAAAAAATGGAAAAAAATACCCCAAAAATACTTTGACCTTTCCTCTTAATAATAACAAACATTTAGACGATAAAATTTTGTTTTCGTCAAGTTTGGCGTCTTTTTCATCATGCTATGCTCTTTTTTTTAGCGATCTCGTGGAGGTACCTAAATTAGATGCACAATAATAGATCTATTAATGCAGATTCCTTATGATTGAATGAATCTTAAGGCGCCCATGTAAAGCTTATGTAGAGATTTGGGACCAATTTGTAAATGATTTAAAAAATGTTTCATAAAAATATAGTTTTAGAAATTTGAATAAATAAATTATATATATAACATAAATAAATATTTAATACTTACCAATTTTAAGATATCTTACAGGAAAATGGTTATCATCTATTTCATTTAGAGGATAAAACGTTTCAGGAACGTGATCATTTTTCAGCCCACTGTAATAAATGATGGGATTAAGCTAAAAAAATATTTAAGTAAAGCAAAAGTAACTTTTCAAAAGAATACAGTAGAAAAATACAAACTGTATAAACAAATTTTATTTTCATTTTGCATAAATTAATCTCAAATTGTAATTAATTTGAAAAGTGATAACAATATACAAAAAGGAAATTTGAAATATAACCAAAATTTGTAATGATACATTACAGTACAAGGGAGAGAATGATGTGGAAATTTATTCAAAGATTTTAAAGAGACAAGAAAGAAAGTTTAGAATGAAAACAAAATCCACTATTCTATGATTAAATTAAAAATTAGATTGTTAACCTTCTTTGCTAGTGATATTATATAAAGCAGTCTAAAAAAGTTTGTTCTGTCATTTTTTGCTTTTAGAAGCATTTACCTTTTGCTTTTATACAGGGCATTGGGTGCTTTTGCTTTTATACAGGGCATTGGGTGCTTTTGCTTTTATACAGGGCATTGGGGCTTTTTGCTTTTATACAGGGCATTTGGGGGCATTGGGTGCTTTTGCTTTTATACAGGGCATTGGGTGCTTTTGCTTTTATACAGGGCATTGGGTGCTTTTGCTTTTATACAGGGCATTGGGTGCTTTTGCTTTTATACAGGGCATTGGGTGCTTTTGCTTTTATACAGGATGTGTTGTAACCAGAAACTAAGGAAACGGAAGCACTGATTCAGCTATTGTTCAGAAATTGAAGTACCGTGTCGGCTATATTGTTTATGTGTGAGTAAAAGAGCTGGAATATCACTTCGACAGACAGAAGGCACCAAGCCAAACCTGCATTGTCATTGTTACTACATAGCCCCTTACCAAGTTGCAACAGGGTGCTTTTGCTTTCATACAAGGCATTGGGTGCATTTGCTTTTATACTGTATAAATTCATATCCGTGCAATTTTTCAAAAATTTTCAGAAGTATTTACAAATAGATAAAAAGTATTTCTAAGAGGATGGAATTATGAAATTATCCAAAAGATAAAACAAAATGGCAAATATCTTGTTTATGACAGAACTTTCCAGTATTTAAAGTTGAACCACAAACTGCAATGAATGTTAATAGTGCAATAAACTGAACAAACCTTATTGCTAGCTTTTACATTTTACTTTCAGCATTTTTTTTTTTTAAAAAGTTTCTGATCTTAGCTTATTATGGTTAAAGAGAAAATAGCAATTACCTTTCAAGCAGTTCAATCATATGATCATCTGTGGGGCCTCCAAACACCTTGAATTTTTTGAGATTGCACACATGTGTCTTTTCATATTTTCCAAATGTAATTGTTTCAACAATGGCAGGACGTTCCAGTTTGAGCACCAAATACTGAAATAAAAATGTTTGTACAAAAATCAATGTATAAAAGGGAAAAATTAAGAAAACTGAAGTTAGAAAAAAAAAAAAAAAAAATTTCAAATTTGATCTTTGCTTTTTTTTTTTTAAGCACATTTATTAAATAGAGGAAAATAATAGGATTAAGCAGAGGAAATTCTTGTACAATACCTGTGGGGAGTTGTTGGAATCAGAGGACCATCTTGAAGACTGTTCTTGAGGACGGTCATGGTATATATTTCTATAATGAAGAAAAATATTTCTATAGACAGAATAACTAGCAATGAAACCTATGTAGACAGATAGCAGACAGAGATGCTGACTTCCACATTATTTCAAATATTGATTAAAAAAAAAAAATAAAAAAAAAAAATAATATTGACAAGAAAATATTTGATGTAATAGCCTGGTAGTGAATTCAAACCATACAGACAGTAATTTTTTTTCATCTCTGTTAAGAGTATTTTATATATGTATATAATGAGAAGTAAATATCCTTTTCAAGAGCTTTTCATTGCATATACAAAATATGGAAAATAGAAATAAATAAATATAAAATTTATATATAAATAAAATATGCATAAAATCTTAAAATTAAATTTATAGATGATTTAAAAAAAAAAAAAAAAAAAAAAAAAAAAAAAAAAAAAAAAAAAAGAGGAAAATCTGTTCTTATACTATTTTGAACTATTGTTCTCATCTTAGTTGATATAGGTGTTATTATAGACACAATGTTTCAACCAAGTATGCTCTGGTTATCATCAGTATACCCCATATATTGGCTGATATAGGATATCTGTTGATTGTTATATTTTGTATGTGTAATGTCAGTTATTTTTCATTCCTGTTAAATTGATGCTTCATTACTAGATCCAAGGACTGAACTCATAACCACTAGATGACAGTAACGCATGTATAACCAACTCCTATAACCACGGTGTCACTGTTTAGAAGGTCCGTGGTGTGTTTTTGGAGCCTTTTATATTCAATATCAGATGGTTTTAACATTTTGGTTATCTCCATTGGACTAGCAGATGGATATAAGTTGAGGGAAATTTTTAAAAGTGATAAACATAAAATTATTTGACATGGCAATAAAAGATTTACTCATATTCATAAAGAATAAAGTAACAAAAATTTGTACTGATGCTGGAATCACAATAAGTGTGTTTGCTGCATGTTATACTTTAATTGGATTTAAAGTAGTAAGATATTCTTATAGGCATTTGTAAGATGTTGTCAATGAATAAGTTCAAAGTGTGGAAGAGAATAGTATATGAAACTTAGAATATTATTTGCAACTATAACTGTTTGGAGGGAGAGAAGAAGAGAGTTTCAGTAGAAAGGCTAAGCTTATGTATTAAGTTAATTAGATTGACTACTCACTGATTAACCAAATTTTGTGCACTTAACATTCTTCTCAAAAAAAAAAAAAAAAAAAAAAAAAAAAAAGAAAAGAAAAAAGTTCAATTGACTATTCTTTTCAACTCTTTAAATAGAGATTTATTCACATAGATGCTTACATAGGTATTTGTGAGGCTATACAAATGCCACTACTTATGGTTTTAAAGTCAAATTGTAAATTGCAGATTATGCACTTACTAGTTATAACACTACCAAACATTTGTTAATTTTATTACTTGTAAATAAAACCTTTTGTTATTCTACTTAATGCCTCATCTATCATTTGTATGATCCCTTTTATATGAATTGATGTTCAGTGTCTAGTCCGATCGTTTTGTTTGACGGGATGTGTCCACTGCAGTATTTGCTTTTAGAAAAAATATAAAAATGTACATATTCTGTAAATATTGCTATCTACCTGTTACTTTTCTTCATAAGAATGAACTATTCATATTACCAAAGTTATTTAAAGACATATTTTGGGGTGGTTGTTAAATCTGGTCTTTAAAAGGTTTTATTTGGTGCAGAGAGAATTGCCAGTTAGTCATTGGTTTTAACAAAACTGCTTTTTAAAATATGAAGCTAAGTTTGATAAAATACTGAATTAGACCCTGAAAATCTTGATGGGTATATTTTGAAATGTCAAAACAAATTGAGCAGTATTTAAAAAAAAAAATAAAAAATAAAAATAAAAAAAAATAAAATAAAAAAAATATATAATTTGTCGGTTAATTCCCATGTTTATGTTCAAATGCTCCTCTTTTAGTTGGAAGAGATTAGAGTAATCCTATTTCCCATAAAAGTTCCACTAAGCTTAAATTTTTGACTAATTTGTGATTTTTTTTCTCTGATCAGAACAAAATATTAAAAATACTTGCTTTGTTTATTCCAAAATAATACAAATTCAACATCAAATGAAATTCAACCAGAGAGTAGATAATCATTCTGAGTGCTTGTTACACTTTGTTGAACTTTTGCTAGATTTTAACCATACTTGCTTTTAAAATGTGTTAATTCATCAATTTTTGATATTTAATTCCTGGATTCAAAAAAAAAAAAAGACATGCCAAAGAAAAACACCTCATACTTTGTTCAATCTTTTACAAAGAAAACTTGAAAATAATTTAGATCAATGAATTAGTGACACTTTAAGGCTATGCTCTAAATATACACAATTATTCATTTTATTTTGGAACAACATTATTTTACAAAACATGCTTCAACAATGACCAAATTTTCTTTGTTGAGTTTTAATGTGAAAATTATGTGGATATGTGGAAGACATCTTTAACATTGCACGGAATTGCTAAAACATTTTTTATAATTTATTCTGGAATTAAGAAACATCAATTATAACATTACACTTGACCAAAGATATTTTCTTTTTTTTTTTTTAAAGAAATTTTAGAGATGTATGGATTATTTTACTCATTTGAAAAATTTAAATGAACATTGTCTTTTTCATTTGTTTTCAACGGCCTGGTCCCACTAAATAATAATAAAAGAAAAGAGCATTGCAGATATTTAGGAGTTATTAGAGGGGGGATCCTGTTTAAGGTATCAATAGAGTGCCAAATCGAAAACAGATGTTGTTAAGGTGTTCTGTGAAAACAGATGTTGTTTGAGGTGTGGAAGGGGGTTACAAAAAGATTTTTTCTTAAGTAAATATTAAAAATTTAGAGAAATTAATAAAATTATTCTGAAAAAATTTCCAGCAATCTTTAACCTTCATGCAAAAAAAACAAAAACACAAACATTGCCGAGGAGAAGGTAGTTAAAAAAACAGCGACATCAAATGGAAATATCGTTCATGTTTTTTAAAAAACACCATTTTTGGGGGGTAGGCACAAAAGTTAAAGAATGCCAAAACTCCAAACAAGTTTATAAAAAAAATAAGAAATGTTAGGGAAATATATATCTTTTTTTTTTAATTCAGAAAATTAAAAAAAATATGCCTAATGTTGTCAGCACATTTTCAAACTTGACATTTGTAAATAAGCGACTAAAAAGCCAATAACTATTATTCAAAGTCAATGTACAATTTGACACTAGTCGCGTATCAATATTCTGAGCAATAGGACTCCAATTCTAAATAAATCCATAACAAATAAAAAAAATTTCTGATTCTGACAAGTGTCCCGACCCAAAGATCAAAAATGATTTCCCTCCAGCATTTCCCCCTGTTTTTATGAATATGAATTGACCAGTTTATAGTGCTGGCAAAACGATAATCGAGTACTGAATATTGATATTCCTCCAAAACGTTTAGAAAAGAATGCCAATAATTCAAGACAGGCATCCGCATGTGGAACCAAAAATTAAATCCTTCAAGCAAGAAGCAGTATTGAAATCTGAATTACGAAGTCTATTATTCACTTGCATTGACACGTTAACTAACAAACGAGTTAAAGAATTTATAAAGATTTTAGACTAGAGTGAAAATCTTTCAAACTGACAATTTTTATCAGTTTTTTATTTTTATTTAAAAAAGAAAAAAAAGTAAAACTAGTTTTTTTATTATACAACTTTATTTTCTTAAGTTTTAATCGAACCATTCCTTATTTCTTACCAGCCAAAATGTACCCAATATAAGCAGAATTATATTTTAGTAGAAAAAAAAGGGGGAGGGCGATAAAAAGAAAACATGGCAAAGAAAAGAAAAGAAAGAAAAGAAAAAAAAAAAAAAGAAGCGCAAACAGGTTTAAAAAAAAGAAAAAAAAAGTCTAAATTGAGATGTCACTTTTTTTGTTTGATCAAATAGTAATTTTTTTGTTTAACTTTGAGGATCCATAGTGCACTGTCTTCTTAAATAACGAAGGAAGATTTTATTTTAAAGTTATATTTTTTTTAATTATTTCTTCATTTGGGATGCAAACTAGCAGACAATTTTCCACGCAGAATTAAAAAAGCATTTTCAAAATCTTGATAAAAAAAAATTCCAAAAGAAGATTTACAATCAGTTTTTAAAATTGAAACAAAACATTAATTTAAAAATTAAATTTTAAACGGTTGATAAACAAAACATTTATTTAAACGACCAAGGCCTCAATCAATGCTCACAGAAATTTCACTGAAGCGAAACAAGATGAGTAAAAAAAAAAAACATAATTGCTTGAGCAAACAAAAGTTATGTTGGCTCTCTGCTGTCAATAACAAACTGACAAATAAACAAAAAACGGTGTTTACAAAATACAGCTCCAATCTATGACGCAATTTATTAATTTTCGGGAAAAAGAAAAAGCATGAATCTAATCCTCCCTGAATAATATCAAATTACAAATTACATCTGTTTTTACAATAGAGTGTTAAAACTAGTGCTGTGATGATAAGGATGGCAACACAAATAATCTTTGTCTATCGACCTAGGCAATGAGTAACTTATTGGCTGCTATATTCATTTTTAGTCATGACAGGCAGCGAAAGGTAATTTAGTATCCTGAGTTAATTCCACATTCACGACGGAGAAGAATTTTTTATCGCAGGTGAAATTCCCCTGGACACCGGCAGGGATCTTAATAATCGATTATTGTAAAAATTTAAATTTCCGAGGGGGAAAAAAGAAAAAAGAGTATTTTTTGCAAGCATTTTTTTTAAATAAAAATGTGAGGAAAAGATGTAAAAATAAAAAAAATTGCACCAAATTTAAATTTAATAAAAAATGTATCAGGCACAAACCTAAAGAAAAACAAAGACTAAAAAAATTATTTTACTTTTGAAAGCTATTCAAGAAATTTAAAAAAAATTGTCATGAAAACTTGCACAATAGTGACTTTTTGAAGGAATTTCATTAAATTTTGTGTACATTTTATTTTTATTTTTTGATGAGAAAATTGTGTCAATAATCAAATTGAATTTTTTTTTTTTTAAATTAATTCATTTTTAGAAATGAAAAAAATTATTTACAAGAAAGCTTAAAAATAAAAACTACGGTATTTAAACTTATAAAACTAAGTTTAACTTTCATAAAAAATTTGTTCGTAGTAAAGAAATTCGAGTAAAACTGGGAGAATATTTTTTTTTTTTCACAATTTTAATTAAATTAACATCATTCAGTCAGTTAGTTTAAAAACTAAAACAAACAGTAACGAATAAGCAAAGTTGCAGACAGATCAATAAACATTAGAAATAAATAATGTTTAAATAAAAAATATCGAGCTTTTTGTTTTAATTGAACCTGAACAAATAAGACGTCAAATCTGGTGTCAACAATACACACTCCATGACTACATAAGTTTTTAAATGAAAACTTAAAGGACATGACAATTAGCAATTCTTCAGAAAGAAGCTTCACAGAGATAAGATAAAAACAACAATGAGGCTTTTCAATAATAAACATTTATCGCTCGCTTGCAGGACAAATGCAGAGATTCTCATATGTACAATTATCTCAAAGAAAGGGTAAAATATGGGAGCATGTTTCGCCTAAATGGAGGTGCATAGTAATAAAGAGAAGACCTTGTACGATAAAGTTTAATCAAGCCCAGATATTACGCAAGCTTCACGATAAAAATGGGCGCAACTGCTGATGTTTCAAACTATTATTACAATAATTTTTAGAAATTAAGAAGACATTTCTACTTACTCTGGGACGTAATTTGATGAGTAACTTGACCATTTATATACAGTGTATTTCAAAACGTGGCTCTCGCCCGCCATATTGACATAGCCCGTCAAATCAATTTCGTAACTCACCGATAGGTTAATTTATCTGGCGAAATTTTTTAAAAATTATTTCAAGTTTTAGATTTTTTTATAATCCTAAAAAGGGTTATTGCAAGTAGAAAATTTGAGTTTAGAGTTTTATTGCTTTAATTAAATATCGAAGATTTTTCTTATTTTTATGGTTCTCTTTGGATGAAGAAAGAGAAGGGGGTACAGGAAGTGGCATGTCTAGTCGCAGACGACTTTTTTGTAAATCTCAACAAACTTTAGATAAAAATAAAGAAAACTTAAATATAAGTTCGTTAACAGGAAAAAATTAGTTAAACCCAAAGTAATTTTGTTTACTTTTTCTAACAAAAATATGCCTACAATCATGCAGGTGATGGAATTGAAATGTAAACAAAAATAATCGCGAATCGAATTTTCTTCAGCTTTTTCGGGTTTATCTTTTTTTTACGGATTAAAAAAGTAAACTAATTTTAAAATAAATAGGTATTATTTAATTTTATTTTTGGTAAAAACACTGCTTTTTTGTGTCATTCTTCTCTATTTCTAATAATTCATTATTTTTTCTTTTTAAAGTCGATTAAAATGATAAACTTGCGTTAAAAAAATTCTATCAGAGGTATTTTAATTTATCTTTTCATTTAGACACGTATTTCTGATTTCCTAATATATCTGAGGTCAAAGGTCAAGGTTCAGAGTTGAATTGAGTTGCTCTGTGTCAGGGAAAAGGAAAAAGCCAGTCGAGACGACAGACGAAGACTTCGTTGGTGTCTTACTTGAAATTGTTTCGTAAATATTAGCATTATGTCACGAATATTGTCATCATTGTTTCAGTACGCACCAAAAACACTACAACAGGTCGGTATATAAACAAAGGATAGTTTACTTTTAATAATCTTTTATTTATTTGTATTTAGTAATATTGTTTAAAACATTGATATCGGACTACAACACACATTTTTTTTCCAAAATACTTTATCTTTTAAATTAAAAAAAATATATATATTTAGGTTTGGATGCAATATTTAAAGTAAACATTAAATTTTTACTTATTCGAGAATGATTTTTTTTTCTGAAAAAAAAAAAAGGTGAATTTAGGGCAAATCATAGATGTTTTACAAGTAACGTAATGCTCTGATTGTCATGAAAAGACCCCCCCAAAAAACAATATTGTTTATTCGACGATCTTTTTAGGTTATGAAGTAAAAAGAAAATGAATCTTACGAATCTTAAATTGACACATAGAATAAGAAGTTAAACTTGAAATCGACTGAATCATGAAGAAAAAAGTTTCTCTTTTAAAATTATTAATCAGTTTTAAATTAATTTTGTTTTTAATCAATTGGTTTCGATAGGTTTCATTTTTTAACTTCGAAAATGAAACCTTTCTTTATCGAAACCGATAGAATCTGATCTTAGAAAGTAAAACCGATAAAAAAAAGATAAAAATAAAATCCGTTCGTTTAAGAAACTTACTTTAATTTAGTTTTAGTATATCATTTAAACAACGGGACTTATGATACTTTTTTATTTCAATTATTTTATTATTATAAAATTGTAACTACATAAAAACTTGAAAAACACGGAGAACACATGATGAGTATCTCTATTTTTAATTTCACAACTACAGACACTGTGTCAAAAACTAGCACTGTTTGTTCCAGTTTACAATTAACATTGTAATTCTTATCTGTTGAAAACTAAGTAAAGACAGATAACATTCAATGAAAGGACAATTCGAATGACTAAATAGGATAAAAAAATATCAGTGTATTTAAAACAATGTTTTATTAATCGATTTCAATTTTAAATTGATTTTTTTAATACCATTTTTAAATAAATTCCTGGAGCACATGAGGTCCAGGATTATCTGCCCTTACACTTGACGCGAATTAAAAATATTTATTTAGGTCTTTTTTCGCACCTCAAATCAAATCTCTCGTTTTTTGTCCAAGAGGCTCGTGAGGGAAACCTTTTTTCTTTTTTTTCTACCTTGAAACCACTCGTTTTAGGCCATCTCATACACTAATATAGAAATAAAAAAATCATTTATTATCATATCTCTCTTTCTCTCTATGTACCGTTCCTTCAAGACGATTCATGGTCCTCCACAGCTTTCTTCCTTCCTTCCAAAATACTTTCTCCTTTTTATGACTACTCTTTCACTTTGTTTGCGGTAAGTGAATATGTTTTAAACTAAAAGTGTGTACTTTTGTAAGAAAATATGTTTTATTGTGTGCTTAATGAATATGACTTCTTTTTCTTTTCTTTTTTGGTGGGGGAAATGTTACAATGTAACTTTAAATGTTCTAGAATCTTACTTTGTGTCCATTTTTATGAAAGTAATGGGTCCTTTTCGTTATAGAAGCTTAAAAAGATCAAAATATAAAGTTGCTAATTTTTTCTCTGCTCTTAATATAACACGGCTGGTCTGGCTCAATCCTGGTTTGTTCCCACACTGACCAGTACCAGTGCCGGTCAGCTGATGGTTATCTGTTGATCGCTTCATTCCTCCATCTGCTCTGTCCATGTTGTGTTCTTTGATCACAGTGCAGTGAAAATCAAACTTTTGTCCACATTTAGGCGCTGAATTAAGTTGGTGGAACCATGCTATGAAAAAGGACAAGAATACTTCCTCCAATGAAAACACAAATATCATAACAAATAACAAAGAAGGCCACTGGATTAATTTTCAATTGGTTTATACAATCATTGATACAACAAAATTAACTCTTCCTGTTCAACTCTCTATCATGACACTGTATCTCTTGTTTCTAAATCCTGGAATGGGTTAAAACATTCACATGAAATGTTAGGTCGGGCAGCCTCAGTGGCAGGTCACGTGGGGTTCAACAGCTCCCTCATTTGCAGTTGATTCGTCTCAGCCTTCTCCAACAGCAGCTTCAACTGATTATTTGGTTTATATACATCTTGCCCAACATTCACTACTCCTCAAAGCTCATTACATATTCAATTAATTATTTTCTCTAACCCTTGAAGATATGACATCAACTCTAAATAAGGCAGTCTAGTATTTTAAACAATAAACTTTGTTTCAACATTTCTCGACAATGATCATTTTATCAAAACAATAAATTTTTCAATCAACAAACTTGTATGTTTAAAAATGATTTCAAATCAGCAATTTGTCAATTTCCAAATCTGACCCAATTCCAAATTCCATTATTTACATTTTTGGTTTTACTTAAATTTGGTCCTTGGCCAGCAATGACCGTTAAATACCAACACAGTCAACTTTTCAAAAACAAAATTATTTATTTCAAATTTTTCTAATGTTTTACATTCCAGCCTTTTTTGGGGACTCATAACTATTCTTATGTTTATCAGAAAGAAAAAAAACATTTCATTTTTTTTTTTCTTAAATTTTTTTTATTTTCTTGAAGAAAAAAAAACAGCCTCCTTAAGAAAAAAATGTGTGGTTTTTAAAAGAAGCAGCAGAAACCATATTGGAAAAGAAAATTTGTTGTAAAAGTCATTTTAGCTGAACCAAATTTTAACTACTTTTTCTTCCATTTATTCAAACTTGTCAAGTAGCGTATTTGCTGTATGTTTTAAATTCTCCAAGTCTTCTTTCCTCATTATGTTTCTCAAAAATGCCACTTTCTGATTGCCAATTGTTACAATAACAGTTAATTTTTTCTTCCTACTCTCCTTAGAACTTCCTCATTTGCCACATTCTTTGTCAATGGTATTATTAGCATTTATTGTTAAACCACAACTTGGTTGCCTCATTTCTTCATTTGTGACAAAATTGTCTCACATTCACTGCCATATTAGATATATTTTTTCTATTCCCTAATTTATAAAAAGTATATTTCACTATTTTATGCACTGTCAAATTCCTTTTACACTTTTCATCATGTGTTTATTTTTTTCATTTCACCACAAGCAAGGTGATAAAGCCACTAAGACTCAAGGGGTTATTCAAAGTGAGAAAGTAACTGAGAAAAAATTTATCGAGGAAAGAAGGCAATAAAAGAACAGGATTAAACAAAACCAAAGGTTACGATTGACACTGCATTTAAATTTTTGAGGATCATAGTTTACAGGAAAACAAAAAGCCGGAAGAGAGTTAGTTCTACAGGTGAGAAGTGCCAAAGAAGAATCTCTCGTAGAGGGAGATTAGGAATCACAAAAAGTTTGGGCAAACCCCTAAAATCAAGCAACAAATGATGTTTATGGTAGGTACAGAAAGCCAATATAGATGAAATTTTAACACTGTTCTAAGCTACTGACATATTTTCTTCATGTTTTAGTGGCCCACTCTGCTCTTGATTCCTAGACATGTTAATTAAAACTCTGATGTTTGTTTTAATTATCATTAAGGTTTTTGGTTATTTATTTTTTTTTTTTTTCAGACATGTTCATCTCAGGCAATCCCTAGAAGAATGGTGTCCAGGTATGTGTGTGTGTGTGTATATATATATATATATATATAAATATATATAGTTTCTAGTTCATCCTGTGTTTGCAAGAACTATAAACAAATCATAAGGCCAAACGCTTCAAAAAGTTTGAATTTGGCTCCAGAAAGAAATATTTACACATGGGTAGTTGCATGCTCAAGATCTTAAGAATTTATTCTTTGCTGTTAAAAAGGGAAAAAAAGAAATTTTCTTGAGAAAAAATATTATCTACCATGAAGTTCTATAAAATTAAATTAAATTATTAAACTGTGAACTAGGGTTTTTGTCAAAGTATTTTTCCAAACAAATCAGCTTATTCAAATTTCGATTGATTTGCAAAACTGAACAAAACATTGAGTTTGTAAATCTCAACAAAAAATGTTAGCGATAACTTCAACAATACTAAATATTGTGAGAATTTCAACACACATCAGTGTGTTGCAAAAAAATTCTAGTGAATATAAAAAAGTGATTTGTAAAGTAGGAAATGCAGTTTTTTCTTAAAATATATGATTATGTCTCCTGCTTGCTTATTATGCTTCACCTTTCCTTTCAATAAGATCCATTTACACTCTTCCAAAAGGAAAACTGTGATTTTTTTTTTATTTGCTCATTTGCATTGAATTGATTTCTTTTATTTTAATACACAATAAAAATTAAAAATATAGAAAATTTTGGTATTTTAGTACACCTGTATCAAAATACTTTCAAAATTTTAATTATATACTAAGGTTCACAACACGTGGGATTTCGGTACTAGAACCCTTCTCTATAGCATGGAACTAAGTTCACTTCACCAGAATTTATATAAATTCATCTTTTTACATGATTTATGTTTATTTAATAGTTTTGACTACCTCAAAAGAAGCAAAATTCCAACGTACCATTTCCAGAAGAGCTTGCCTCGTCTTCCCATCCCCAAACTGGAGGATACGTGTCAACGCTACCTACTGTCTCAGAAAGCCTTACTTGATGAGACTCAGTATAAATCAACAGAAGCAGCTGTGAAATCATTTCAAGAAAAAGAAGGACCAGGTCAGTGATTTCCAACTTTATGTATTGTCTGAAAATGTCAAGTAATTTTATCATCTAGTATTATTAGATCAAAATTCAAACACTTCATTTGAAAAAGAGTCTTATATCTTTTAATATTTTTATTCTAATATCTTGAAAATATGCCTAGGCTTTATTCTTGTATTATTTCAAACTATTTTTCTAATTTTCGTTGATATAGATGTTATTATATCTCATATCATCCAATCAATGAACATCTGATGATGATCAAAGTGTACTTGATTGAAACAGTATATTTATAATAACATCCTATAATAATGTTTATATAGCATCCTATAATAATATTTCAAATAATCTCCTCCAAAATGAAACTGCTCTCTTTTAATCATTTGAGAGAATCCTTTCTGCCTTCCATCAGCATGGCTGATGCTAACCTCCAGATGAGTGACTCATTTCACCTTCCCATGCTAACATTTTCCACTGACATGAAGTGGAAAGATTATACTGAATCAATTACTTTGTGATATTAGACACTCACTCATTCTAACTTTCCTTAGATCAACGAATGTTTGTTATCACTTCCAAAATGCTCATTGTAATGAGGCTTTGTAAATACAGATACTGGTAGTAGTAATACCTTCAAATAATACTCACACTAATAATACTTGTTCAAATAGTAATCGCCAAATAGTAACTTGTGTAATGATCAGTATAGAGAAATAGTATAGTGGACAGTATAGAGAATAGCAGTCACTTAGACGTCACACTAATTCCCATTTTGTGGCGAATAAAGAAAACAGCAACCAGCGAGTAAATTCAAGCTCTCTCAGCTGGTATTTCAACCTTGAGTCGTTCCTTCTTGAGTTCTGTCTCAAAATCGCACTAACAAACTGTTCTTGCCACCAACTGTGAACGTCACTCGAAGAACTCCGCACACTGGGAAAAAGTAGTTGCTTTTATATTTGTCCATATACCCATAATCCCTTGCGTCTTCATGTGATCCCATAATTCATTGCGTCCATGTCCCATAATGCATTGCATCTTTATTGCATAAAAATGCAATGCAAGTCCCCCCTCACTCTTTTACGTTATCTGGCCGAGGACGGATCACATCAGAGCGGTAAGTGCTTTTTTCTCTCTCATTTCAACTGCAGTAGCTTTACATGCTAAGCAAATACGGGCTCTTTTTTGGCGGGGACAAGGCAAGTCGCGACCAGTTGTGCTCGTCCCAGGTTCTGTCTCATGTCCGTTTCCTTTATGATCTCATGATCTACTCTACTTATTTAATAATTGAATCATCCATGTTTGCTCACTGGTGATCCGTGTTCAAACTACAGTGTCAGCCCCATAGAAGCAAGCGAGCCAAAGTGGCTTGTGTCTGATGCATAGGAAAATAAGGGTCTTACCTTAATGTGCGGCACGTGACATTGGCAAATTTGCTCTGTGAAAATGGCATTACTCTCCTGTCTAGCAATTCCAGCAGCATGTGTGGTAATGAGGGTTTTTGTACAGTTTGGCATGCTTCCACCAATAGCAAGTCGTGTGCTGATTGGTCGAACTGGAGGAGGCTATTTGCCTGAGTAACTGAGAATAAAAGCAAAGAACGCTGATTGGTTGGTTGACCGTGGTGTTGGCCTGATAAAAGAGGGCTGAAGCAGTGAAAAGGGCAGAACAAAAGTCGGATTTACGTTGTGAAGTGTTCATAAAGCAAGAACGGCAAATTGAACCAGTGGTATCTTGATTTGTACAAGTGTCGTTGTAGTAATAGAGACTCATTTAAACTACAATTCCTATACAACAAATTGCTAGGTCTGATAGGAAAGTTGGTTCATTGTGTCATGCTAGACAATGTTTCTCACCAGAATCTATCTTACATATTTATAAGTTAAAAAAATGCACCCCTCAGCATGATTTGAATCTGCGTCCCCCTTTGCAGGAGAAACTATCATTAAGTCTGACATGTTTAACCACTTGGTTATGAAGAGTACTGTGATCAAGTAAGATTCTATTTTGCCTTTAAATACACTTTTCTCATGATTTTTGAGAATATAAGTCTACTATTGTCCATGCTTTGAATATTGCTGCCATATCTGGTCTAGTGCTTCTGATATATATTTAAAGGTTCTTGATAAAAGACAAAGAATTTCTCACCAGTGTAATGTAAATTTCCTGTGCCTGTTTCTCTAAATACTTTCATGGTACCTAGATTTAATGCAATGCCAATCATTATCTTCTGTCTCCTTAATTCCTGTTCTTTTATTGTCCTCTCTGCTTAATAATGTTTTATTTTTCTTATATTCTCCCACACTCAATAACCTCTTGCATCTTAGTAGTTTTATTACCTTGTTTGAAGTGAAATTATTAAAAAAAATGACGAAAAACATCTATATCAATCAAGATGAAATCAATAGTTTAAAAAAATATTGAAAATTAATCATCTCAAAAATAAAATAATAAATTATGTTTAGGCTTTACGAATATTATACACTGATTCATTTCAACCAGTTAAGCAATCTTTATTTTTATTTTTTCCCCAATAATATATCAGATCCTGTCATCTCAATCCTTCCTTCATTGGAAGAATATCAGACAGGATAGGTTTAAGAATATGAGAAGCATAGATCCACAGATTATAATAATAATACTTCATCTTATTTAAAAATAATACTTTCATATATTTAGGTTTTATTAAAGTTATACTCATTGCTTTTTGAAACGAGAAACATTGCCAAGGAAATCAAAAGTGCAGACAATAATAGCGGTGTCAAGGGAATAACCCTCCTTTAGACACACCATTTTTCCGCAGGCATGAAGGTTTTGTGTTCGTATATATTTTATATAAATTCCTAGACGCTCACTTATTTTATTTAAATTCATAGATGACTGCATATTCTTTTATTTAAATTCTTAGATGTTCATATATTCTTTCTTATTTATTTATTTATTTAAATATTTCTTGGGATATTTTTACAGCTTAACTTTATAAAAAATAAATTAGAATTTTAAATGTCATGTTGAAATGAACATTTTTATTTTGAATTTACAGATTTGCATGATGAGCTTGTCAAACAAGATAAAAGAAACAAACACACCAGTTATATATCGGGTAAGGGAAGCTTAATTACTTTGAATTGTTAATTACAATTAGTTTGTAAAATTGACTGAAGGAGCATACAGTAATAGCAGTGTCAAGAGAAAAATGTTTCTTATTGGCACATTGTTTTTTTGCATGGCTCTCTGTTAACCTTTAGCACTCTGAATTATTAATAATACTTCCCTTTCCACTGTATTCTTTTTCTAGGCCTCTCAGTTGCAATAACCTTATTGTTAATTTCAATCAAAGGTGTTTTCTGTTGCCATAGCAGGATATGACAACCGATGTATGAAATTCAAATTCAGAGATCAGTCACCTTCACTGGCAGGATAAACTTTTTGTACAGCAAATGAAGTCACATACATGATAAAGTTTAAATATTACCAACTAGAATTTGTTATCTCCATGTACAGTCAAATTTATTGCTATATACATTACTACAGGTTCACAGTTATGCAATACTTCTTTTATGTACCATGCCCCCTCAGGACGTAGGCGATCATGACCATCCACATCTTCCTGCCCCTTGTAGTTTTTAATAAGTTTTGTCTTTCTGTTATTTCTCCCAAACCCTGTTCTAACATCCATTTGCTCAAACTCATCAAGCATATTACACATTGTTTTCCTCTGTCCCTCTTTCTCTCAATTTGCCTTGTGAGTATCAGGTTTTCCAAGCCCTCCTTCCTTATGTGCCCAGAAATTTCAACTGCCCCTTACTGATGTTAAGTATAAGTTTCCATTTTTTCCAAAACTTTATTATTGCTCACATGTTCCGTCCAGGGTATCCTCAGCATCTTTCTATAGAACCACCTTCCTGTTATTTCAACTCTCTTTCTCATCTTTGAGGAGAATTGGCTAGCATTTGCTGCCATACAGGAAGACAGATCTTGCGTAACAGTCTTTTCTTTGTTTCTAACAAAATTTTTCTGTCTCTGCTTAGTGTTTGAAATGCATCTTTGGCCATTCTAATACATCTTCAGATTTCAGTATCACACTTTTAACAGTTTGAATAAAATCATTAATGTTCTATCATTTGATATTTTAGAATGAGGAAAATTGATTGATTTGTTTTTTACAGCTTATCAACCCTTTGCACCTTACTTAAAGCCAGAAAATATTTTTAGATTGTAAGAGTTTTTTGGAGATAATAATGATTTACTGATACAAATCCTACTATGACACTATCATGCTATGATGTTAGTGTCAAAATGTTGACTGGCAAAAATTTAATTAAATTTTTAATTAATTATAACAATAAATAATTTATTTTAAAAAATTACTAGCATAATTTTTATTGAGTAACACTGAATTTTTTAAAATCAGTGTAGAAAGTTTGTTTGGCAATTAGGACATTGGAAAACGAAGGCAAAAGTTTGACCTTTACAACTAATGCCAAAATCAAAACAATTTTAAGCAGATACTTAAGGATATGTCAGAAAATGTAAAATAATAAAAATTATTTTTCATTTTCGATAAAATACAACAAGATGAATATGTTGAACATTGCCAGGTGTGTCAGGTCAACATGACCAGACATGGAGTGCAAGTTTAGTACAGGGCCTTGACCAGTCTTGATGTTGCTTAACTTTGGTGATTGTACATGAACTGGTGTTAGAATGAGGGAAAAGAGAAATATAAATGTAATCACTAATCAAGTTTACTCTCTAAACCAGTGATTCTTAACTGCTGTGCCATGAAATAGTCATAGCATATATGTATATATATATATATGTGTGTGTGTGTGTGAGTAATAAATAAGAAACAAGAAAGACTACGCTCAACTGAAGAAGAAATGGGAGTCTGCTTATTGCACATTCAAACAAACATTGAAAAAATCATGAAAAAAACACTAGCCACAGATTTAACACTAAATAAGCTGCACAAATAGTTGAATAGAAACATTGAAATAAAGTAAGTTCATATTTGTATGTGTATTTCTTAAATCTATGACAACCCCAAGTGTTTTGTCTACTCCCAAGCTGCATGGTTAGAGCATTCACTTTCTGACTATGAGACCCGGGTTCGAATATCACTATGGTCGATTTGTCAGGAAGGAAACTTCCTGATGTTATTGGTCTAGAGGGGGGATGATCCCAGTGTGCGGCACCTTTGGAAAGTGCCTGAAAACCATACGACGGGTTGGCCCAAGCCCTATATAAAAGCCTGTTTCGCTGTATCACAGTTCATCAGTGTGGCTAGACATCTGATTGCTACTAGGCAGGATCAAAACTCGACTAATTTGGCACCAGTCAGAGACTACCTCTAAGCTATCGGCACATGGCAGAGAAAAGGAATCTTTTAACGTATTATATACGTGATGTATATAAACATCGAATCAGCAGCCAGAGTGCTCAATTCATAACTGAAGAGCAATCCTTTATAAGCAGGAGCAGCCACTATTTTAAAAATTCCCTTTCCCCATAGTGCTCAATCAGCAAACAAGAGCAAGTTATCTATACATACATATAATATTATATATATATAGATAGATAGATAGATAATATTAGTGGAAAATATACATACATATGCAAAATATATATAAAAAATTCCCATACATGTATATTTTCAGAAAAAAAAAAAAATTATCCAAGAGGAAGGATCCAGGTAGAACTCAATGTCTAGGACAGAGTAAGGATATAATAAAAAGGCTTAAACACTAATATTCCATGGTCATAATTTATTCCATTGGAATCGTAAATACGATCCAAATCATCAGACCTACAAATTCAAAATGAAAACAGAAAAAAACAACTCCGGAAATCAAAACAGAATTTAGAGAAAGTGTAAGTATGAGGAGGAGAGACATGAAACCTTAACAGAGAGAATTTTAGGAGATGTGGGTGGGTGGGGAATTTAAAAAGAGGAGAGAAAGAAAGTCGACGGATGTCTAATGCATAAAGATACATTTCGTGGTGACATATACACACCATAGACAATTAGGATAGGAGGGGGGGAAAAAAGGGGAGAGGTGGGGGAGAGAGATGGGATGAAGGAAAATAAAATTGTGTTTACTTAAAGGGCCGCTTTGTAATTGAGAAAATTAGTATCGACTAGAGGTTAGAAATCAAATATAAATATATGAAGATGAATATAATGATTGTCTAATTTAGCAAGGACCAAATATTTCTATGTTCAAAAACACATACTAATACACACAAAACATATACAAGTAGGTACATACACTTAGGCATGTACTCACACACACACCAGACAGACATACACACACATACATACACATACATATATATATATATATATATATATATATATAAAAGACCTAAAAATATATTCACATATCCACACATACACATATTCATCTATATTCATATACACACCCTTTTCACATACATATACACGCATACATATGCCCCCATGCATATATTCATACATACATACATACTTATACATACACATATATATATATATATATATATATATATATATATATATATATACATACATATACCCATACATACACATACATATACACACATACATACATATACACACATATATATATATATATATATATACATGCAAATACATACACACCGTTACACATGTATATATACACATACATACACACACACCCTTACACATGTATATATACACATACATACACACACACCCTTACACATGTATATATACACATACACACACATAAACATGTATATACATAAGTACACATACACACCTATACATACATAAACACCTCCATACATACATATATACACACATACACACATATACATACATACATATACATACAAATATACACACATATATACATACATACATATAAATACACACAGAGATACACATATGTACATATATATAAAAAGTTAAAATCTAAATAAGTGACGATTCAAAATTTATTTAAAAAAAAAAAAAAAAAATTTATATATATATCTACATACATACACATACACATACATATACATACACACACACACACACAAACATATATACATATATAAATACATAGCGCATCACATAAACGTGCAACAAAGATACATTTAGAGATAAACATAATAGTCATACAATTAAAATGTCATGCCCGATGTTATAGGACTAAGATGGAGCCGACATATAAGTGACAACATGTTACAAAACGGTGTTCAAGTTTTGAAACGTTTCTTATGTCTACATTTAGAGAATATCTCATTCAAGATTCAGCAGCTCATCTCGATTTTTATCTTTGATAATGAAGATTTTTTCCGCCATGCATAGATCACACCGATCGCGGAAGTTATTAGGGTGTTCTGGCTCTAGATAGGAATCTCCATTTCAAAATTGGGTTTAATCCCTTATCCACCAGTTCCCAGTAGTGTTTGGATAAGGAAGTCTGTCTACTGAGGCATCTATATCTAAATGAGCGTCTATGGTTGTATAGACGCTGCTTCCAATCACCGATGGATATACCTATGTATCTTTTTTTTCGTTTATATTTCCCTCGGGAAAGATAGTTGCCTCGTATACTACATTTTCAGATTTGCATTTACCCCGATTGGACAATGGTCTTTATTCCTACAATTGCAGGTAGGGTTACTAGATTGAGTTCCATTACCGTGGTAGTTTCTAAGTATTCTGCAATTATGGGAAGATATGATTTTCTCTATATTTCTAACGCATGAGTAACTAATTTTAGAGTTTTCCTATTGAAAATTTTTACTTAGTGGATGCTTACTGTGGAAATGTTTATCAATTAATTTCAGAAAGAAACTTCCTATATCAATGTTAGAGAGTCTGCAATATGGTGGGTTGAACCATATTACCTTCCTTTTCCTGTTCTTAGTTTTGCTATTATTTTGATTTACAAGTTCTCCATTAAAGCTTAATTCTTGTCTAAAACCACTATTTTTTAAGGCCTGATTGTATATAAATTTATTATCATTAAATATTTCTGGCTATTTATTCTCGTATTCACAGTTTTGGGGATGTGATCTATCACATGTTTAGGGTGGTTAGAGTGGACGTTGATGTATAGGGGTGTTTGATCAACTTTATGGAAGGGTTTAAAGGTATTATTCGATAGATTGAGTGTAATATCCAAAAAGTTGACTATTTTCAGGTTGGAAGATATTTCAATTTTAAGGTCTAAGTATTTGAAGGCCCTAATAATCTTCTTATGTAAGCTGGAAGTTAAGGGACCATTGCTATTTGGGACAATGATTAAGCCGTCATCTCTATAAATTCCGACTTGGTTAAGGTCAACTATTCTACTCAAGGTGTCAAGAATATATATTCCCACCAGATCTGCAATTTGGGCAGAATCAAAGGCACCCATAGGTACATCGAAATTACCATTATTCTTTTTACCCAAGTAGCGTCATTGCATGTAAGTATTGATCTTCTAGACGCTAAAATAATGTCCAGATCATTATCCGTTATTTTGGTAAATCCTTTGGTTTAAATTGAGGCTATTAATTAATAGTTCCTCCGAAATAGAAGGGTAAAAATCCAAGATGTCAAATTGATGAAAGTGGCTTTATTCTTGTTAGTGATATTTCGAACCATTTAATCGTCTCCGCCGAGTCCTTCCAAAGGTTAGCATGATATTTATCCAGGACACAAGATGTTATTTCCTTCAAGATACTCTTGGAAATTAATCCCAACTCAGATTTGGAGGGATTAATTAGACGGGACTGTAAGCTATTGACAAAGTTCGGCTTATGATCCTTGAAGAGAATGTATGCATCTTTCATACCAAATTTTCCCATTCTGTCAGCAACTCCACATTTGTTAGCAAATTTGCAGATGTCTTCATTGATAGATGATAAGGTGTTATTGCCTTTGTCTTTTTTATAAGAGGTAGTAATTTTGTCAGTTACGATTTTGTCATATTCAGCAGGTTTAATTTTATAGAAATTTTTGGATTTGTCGGCTTTAATCCATAATTTATTAGATTTCTTTATGTTGTTAAGGTCTCTACCAATTTTGGTTTGGAAGTAGTTGTGATAATTCTTGAACTTAATCCTTTTAATTAGATCAATCAAATCGCCTTCGAACGGTCCAAGTAGCTTGTTACACGGTGGAGTATATTGGGATCTCAGGTTGTATGTTTCAGGATTTAGTTCATGATCATTTTTGGGATTACTGGAGAAATAGGTTTTCCACCTCATTCTTATAATAAGGTCGATGATCCTGTCTGTAAGGTAGACAGAGAAAAGATGCAATGAAGGGTAAGGGATGTTTTTTAATGAATAATCCGGAGTAAATTTCTCCATCTCCATCCGAATAGGTTGGAATAAAAGCTGTTTAACTGGAAGTATACCAAGGAGAGCTCAACTTATAAAGGTAAGGAGCAATATATATGAATATGTGTATATGAATATAGATGAATATGTGTATGTGTGGATATGTGAATATATTTTTAGGTCTTTTATATATGTATGTATGTGTATGTACACGTATGTCTGGGTGTGTGTGTGAGTACATGCCTAAGTGTATGTACCTACTTGTATATGTTTTTGTGTGTATTAGTATGTGTTTTTGAACATAGAAATATTTGGTCCTTGCTAAATTAGACAATCGTTATATTCATCTTCATATATTTATATTTGATTTCTAACCTCTAGTCGATACTAATTTTCTCAATTACAAAGCGGCCCTTTAAGTAAACACAATTTTATTTTCCTTCATCCCATCTCTCTCCCCCCACCTCTCCCTTTTTCCCCCCTCCTATCCTAATTGTCTATGGTGTGTATATGTCACCACGAAATGTATCTTTATGCATTAGACATCCGTCGACTTTCTTTCTCTCCTCCTTTTTAAATTCCCACCCACCCACATCTCCTAAAATTCTCTCTGTTAAGGTTTCATGTCCCTCCTCCTCATACTTACACTTTTCTAAATTCTGTTTTGATTTCTGGAGTTGTTTTTTTCTGTTTTCATTTTGAATTTGTAGGTCTGATGATTTGGATCATTTTTTATGATTCCAATGGAATAAATTATGACCATGGAATATTAGTGTTTAAGCCTTTTTTTTATATTATATATATATATATATATATATATATATATATATGTATGGGATAATGAAAATGTTTTCATTTGACACATTTCATCCTTTAGGACTTCATTGTACTAAGTTTGTTTATGTTGGTGCAACTACACATGTGCATGAATAAGAGACACTGGGAATGTTAAATTTAAAAAAAAAAAATTTTAATGTGCTTTGGGTATATAATGTAGCTGGTTTCATTTAGATTCTTTTTCTTTTTGTTTCAATCACTTTTGTCATTAAATATCCCACCCTGTGAAATAAACTAAAATTTGAAGGAGGAGTTTACTGTATCACCTGTAATGATTGTCAGAAAGAATACATTTTAGAAATCTCAAGAAGTTTAAATAAAAGATTATATGGACACAAAAGAGATATTTTACATAACAACACATCAAATGCATTAATTTGTCACAATAATGAGACTGACCAGAATTTTGATATAAAAATACTACTCTAATTAAAAGAGAATATCATTCACTATGGACAATTTTTGCACTCCCTTACTCCCCACCAAAAGTAAAAATGTAAGAATATTAGAAAAACTAAATTAAAAAATTCATGAAATTTTCCTTGTCTGTCATATTCAACAAAACATGTTTGAAAGAAAGGTTGCTAACCAAATATACATTATAAAAAAACAGTCAGTACTTAATAATATCAACTATGAACATGGCCACAATGTGCTGACCATGTTTGGAATATAAATCATTCCTATAACTCTAGATACATACAGAAAACAATTCATACATTGAATTAAAAGTAAAAATAAAATCATCCTTCATAATGACTAAAAATATAGCTGAAAGCGCTTGGACATACAAAACATTTGGACAAATTCTCTATAATTTATGTCCTGAAAAGAAGAAAATTATAAGAACACAAGAAAAATTAAATAAAAAATCTTGACCATAGTACCTTGTCATTACAAATACTGAATTAAGAAAACTTTTTATCTTTCTTTTTTCACTTGGTAGTATACTGATGTTTATTGTATTGAAAATTGTCTTTGTGAAAAAACGAGATTTTCTCTCTTTTTTTTTTTTTTTTGTCCATTATTTTTTATGCTAAAAACAACTAAGCCTAAAAAAAAGTTATGCAAAGACCATTTTCATACTGGTTTTGATGGCCTTTTTTCACTTGTAGGAATTTGGTTTGATATGTACCTGAAAGACCGACGTGCAACTGTACTGAATCACAACCCTTTCATGACATTAGTCTACGATCCCCGTCCAGAATACAATAAACAGGTCTGTTTCTTTAATACTTCCTTTGATCATTGCAAATTTACCCAAAATTCTTTACCAGATATTGTCTTTAAATATCCTTTCTGTTATAAAAACAACTCTTAAAACTTTTCTCAGTCATTTTAGGAAACAAATATTAAAAATATATACAACTTTAGATGGGACTACCATTTACCAGTTTAGGAAAAATGTACCAATTTATTGCCTACTTCGTAAGCAGGTGATAGCTAAGTTTTCTTTTTTCTATTTTATCAAAATAATTGAATTAGTGTCATCTTATTTTTTTTTTTATATAAAGCAAGGGAATTAAATTTCCAAAACAACAAAATTAATACCATGCCCAAATAAAAATCCCTAACCCCATTATAAAAAAATTTAATTCATTTCTTTCATTTAGAAAAAAAAAAAGTTACTTTGTACCTGATAATTTTTTTTTTTTTTTTGCTTTTCATTAAGTGGGCAAATATTTCACAACTGCTTTTCTTAAATGTGACTGGGAAACGTTAGTCAAGCTGATTTTGATAACAAGAAAGCCTATATTGTCTTGGAAATTTCCATCAATTTAAAAAGTTGAGCCCTAGAAATGTAATGATGGATTGAGTCAGTAAATGATTTGTTTCTTTATGATTTATCAACCCTTGGGTTATTTAAAGCTGAAACATATTTTAGATTATTATTTTTTTTTTTTTTTTTTTTTGCAACTAAATATTGCACAATTTTAAGGATAACAATGATTTTTCAAGATACAAGCCTTACTAGTAACCTATAGCTGCAAGGAGATAGTTTCTTACCTTTTCCAAGAGTATTTGTGTGTGTGCGCATATATATATATATATATGCACACACACACACACACACATATACACACATATATATACACATATATGTGAAATATATGTATACAATTTTTTATATATATTATTTATATATTATATATGCACAGTACTTATTGGAAAGCACTCAATATCAGTGATAGAGCTGACATATTTAGTTGGATTGATGTGAGTTTGTGACCTTGGGTTTCACGCTATTTGCGATCATCAGACAAACTGATTAATTTTTAAATTTTGGATTTATATATGGTTGTGTATACCAGTTTTTATGGAAGTGGGAGGAAAAACTCTCATCGGAATGCCACTCATATTTACACAAACATGCATACACACATGTACACTCATTGACGTACGCAGACACACACACACACACACTCACTGGAGCTCACACAAACATAAATATATGTGAACAGTGAGGGACTGGGCATATATGTGCATATGTGTGTTGTTGCATAATATGTGCTTGAAAAATTTTAAATTTGTCATAATATTGTTTATAAAAGTAAACTGCATATTATGCCAGTCCCATAGCTGAGATGTCATTTGTTTCTCAATGGCACCAGTAGTTGGTTTTTGGGTTAAGATTTCAAATGTTAATTTTCTCAGGTAAGCCTTCTCCATTGGCATAATCTGCTCTTGTGCAATACTTGATAAATTTACTTATTGAAACATTTTTTTAAAATCTTGGATTCATTTGATTCTTTAAAACTTTTTTCAGCTTCTTCGGACAACAAATATCATTGTTTCAAGTCTCCGTTTAATGAAAACTCTTGAAGAAAAGGTCCTGGAACCAGACATATTCCATTTAAACCCAAAGAAAAGTGACACAGAAACATTTCGAAAAATTGTCAGGTAAGCAAATTCTGTTGGTAGACAATTTGTTTGAAAAGTATCAAACATGATAGTACTCTGAGTAAACAGAAGAAATAAAGAATTTAAAAAACAAATTATGTTCATTGATAACTGGAAAAAATAGATTTTTTTCTGTAATGAATTAACAGATTGTTTTATTAATAACATTATTGAAAAAAGTTTGTGAATGATCATCTTTGAAATTATGTTTAATCCTCTGTGATTTTGAGATAATTACAAACCAAAGATCATTACTGCAGGGTCACCAATTTGTAGAATATCTATATCTCAAATGACAATCAGATATTAATGCCCACACTATCCATTAATTATTACTGCAAAGATTTAACAAAAACATTTTTAATACAGAAAACTTAATATCTGATGATATATATATATATATATATATATATATATACACACACTTTAAAACACATCCCTGAATCTCAATATGATAAGATGATGAAACTATGCATCAAATGTTACAAATATTTTAATCAGTAATAGTGAGTAGAAAGCGGATTATTCTGCTGTAGGATAATCCAAAACATTTTACTTCACATTTCACTTCATCAGAGAAGATATCCTGTGAATAGTAACGGTGTGGCAAGACCTCAGTGTCCAACTGCATTGGTTTTCACAGGGTCTCTCTTCAGCAGATGTACACCAATGCAGACGAGATTAAAAATGCCTTCCTGCTGTTTGTCGATTCCTGTAACTTCAGTTTTTATTGCAATGTAATAAATTCACTGCTGTATTATTGGCAACATTGTCAATTCTAATGATGCTTTCTTACCAAATAATAACATTTTAGCCTTTATCACTCTATATGTGATATTTGCTGTACAAAAAGCTTATGTTGTCACTGAGGGCTACTGATCCTTGAACAATAGTGTGTTTGAATTTCATAGTTGTGTTTATGGTAACAGAAATCAACTTTGAGTGAAATTAACAATAAAGATACAGCAATTGAGAAGCATTGAAAAAGAATGCAGTAGAAAGGGAAGTAATATTAAGAATGCAGAATGCTAAAGGTTAAAGTTTGTTGTTCAAAACAGCTGCTTATTTTGTTCCAAGCTGAGAAAATCTTTAAAAAAATCATTTCTGCTCTCCTTAAAAATTTTTAAAATATTTAACCCTTAAAAAATATGTCTTTGTTTTCTTTGCATGAATTCTAAGCTAGGATTGATATGTGTTTTTTTTATAAGATTTGATTTACTCATATTAATCAGCTAATAGCACAATAGTAACCTGTGGGGGTAACACAACAACTCAACTGATAATAGCAGGTAGGAACAAAAAACCGCGAGGAGGGTAATCGACAAAACCGGTGTCACATGTCCAACCTTCTCACGAGCCAAAAGCCCTCTGATCCGAAACAGAAAAAACGCGCCTGCTTTATATAGCCGAGGACCAACCACGATTTGCATGCGAATGACGAGACAACAAGATTTCGCGTTAACTAACCGAGACTGCCTAGCATAAAACATGGGCGCCACCATTTTGGTTCCTTTTACCGCTAGCAAACTGGAGTTTGCACATCGCACAGATTCGCAGGCATTTCCGAGGTAGGCCATTTTCACAATTTTCCCCACACTCCCCCCTGATCTCATGATCACAAACAGGGCAAGGAGGTGGCGATCATCGCCATCGAGTCCCCCTCCAAAGGAGGACAACACAAGCTTCATCCTCATGTGTGTTCTCATCTGTGGTTTGAGTGTCGGTAAGCACTGTGTTCGCTGGGAGGCTGCTGATATCAGAATCACTGCCCTGCAGGTCTAACTCCTAGCAGATCGAATGCTCACTACTCTCAGACTCGGAATCGCTTTCATCGCTCAGTAACAGTAGCGATTGCATCACCAGTCGCAAGTCTTTAATGTGATGAGGCACACCATCAACTCTCACTGATTGCAGGCTGATCACCTCCGTAACACGTCCAGTGCAGTATTTTGTCATACACTTGCCGCGTGAATTTTTGACCCAAACAACATCTCCTTTTTTCAATCTCCCTCCGGTCACTTCTAGTTCAGGCAGCGGGTTGGCTTCGATGCCTTTCACTTGGACATGATATTTGTGCAGTGCATCAGCCGGTGCCGTGGATGGTGAAACGTTATCTTTCAGGGCGACATTATACCAGTAAACCGCCTCCGATACTGTACAACCCTTCCTGGCTGCGATGGTCTTGACGGTTCTGTGGTTTCGCTCCACGATGCCGTTTCCACTCGGCGAGTAGGCACATCGAAACTGCAGATGCACGTCCCAATTGTCCGCAAATTTTTTAAAGTCCCTACTGGTGAATGCAGTATCGTTGTCGGTCAGTATTTCTATGGGTGGGCCTCGCCCAGGAAAACATTCTCCAACAGTCGTAATGACGGTGCTCACATCTTGTCTGCGCAGCGGCCGCCATACCGCAAACCTGGAGGGACCGCAATCAATAAGCGTTAAAAATTCTCACCATTGTAGTGAGTTATGTCCATCGCTAGTCTGCTCCAGTTGCTCTTCACGCTCAGTTCTCCTCTTTCCCAGTGAACGGGTGCGGATCGATCGACTGACAGGTTGTGCAGGCCTTCACAACGGATTTAACGCTTTCTCTGGATACCTGCAGGTCGACTAACCTGGCGAAGTACAGAGTTCGTTTCACGCCCGGATGTCCGCTTTGACGATGGGTATTGGCCACCAGTCATCTCCCTACCACTGCACAGCTCTCGAGTGCCGGCTCTCCTCTCTTGAGCAGTTCTAGCCACCTGTGCGGTACTCTGGTGAGGCGATCCGCACGGTTCTGACAGGACTGTACGAGTGTCACGTCTATGGTCAATCCATATTCTTCCACCAGCGATCGCAAAATGCCCAGCTGTCGCCTAACCAGCATCTCGCCAGCCGCCCTTGTGTTCACCCGTGCTTTCCCGGTCAAGTTGTCGGAAATTCACCAGTGCACACACGCCGAATCAGTAACCAAGTGCAATGTTGTCACCACCCACTGGTGAGCTAGATTCACTCCTTTAAGCGCCGCATCAAGTTCAGCTAAATTAATATGCCTGGCATCATTAGTCGGATGCAGCCAACACGCATCTTCGATGACATTTCCATTCGCTTCCAATACCACTCCTGTTGCCACGGAACTCGCATCCACCCAGACTGCGATCTCGTCACCACTCATGCACCAGTCTCCTCCAATGGGATCCAGTTCCCGCACTCTAATTAACATCTCTGCTAGTATGGGACAGAGAGAGGGATCTTTGATGTTATCATCCCATCCATTGGTTGCTGCGGTTGCCAGACGCTTGACGAATGCAACTGCCACCCTGAGCCATCCACACACGGGGAAATGTCCAACAAGTGTCCCACACAACGAAAATACGCGCCACCGGGTGAACACATCAGGGACTTCCGGAATTTGACTTCCTCGTTTCCATCGGAGGGTGCCATTTTCTTCCCAGACTTGCAAGCCAAGAACTCTTGCTCCATCTCTCAGTCACACCGGATCCTTGCACACCAAACCGAAATCCGAAAAGTGTTGTCTTACAAGCGATGCAGAGGCCAAATTTTCATTAATGAAAATATCATCAACGTATGCCGATGTGGCACTTTCAATTGTGCGGTCTTGCGATGTGATGACATCTATAACGGATTTCATAATGAGTGGCGCTACATTTAGCCCAAATCTTAGCGGCGTAAGACAGAAGCGTTGGCCTTTGAAAATAACCGTTTGAAATGGCGCACAGCGCTTCGTCGATGTGAATCTGAAGATATGCGTTCCGCAGATCCAGAAGTGACACATTGACCCCCTGCCGCCGCCACATTCTCAACTTATGTGTGCACACTTCTGCATCAGCAGTAAAAGCATCCACAAAGTCGTTCAATTCGCTGTAATCGAGTACCGGACGCACCTTCTGTTTCTGCTCATGCATGACTGCCATCAAGGGAATCAGACCCTTTGGGGGTCCCAGTCTTTCCTGGGGGTACAGAATCAACCAGCCATTCACAATCCACTGTTGAAGCTCTTTCTCGTATTTTCCTCTGATGCTGTCAGGAACTTTGTACTCTGCGACCTTGTTGTGAAGCTGAACTGGTGAGTCTTTTTGGACCCATTTCCACCAGGCGGTCCACACCCTCTCGTCGGAATTGAAAGAGACGTCGAAATCGGCTCACTAATGCAAAGGGCTGCACACACCTTTCTTCCTTTACCCAGTTCCACATTTCCGGCTGGCGTGATTATCATGCCTCCTAACGCTCGGATTGCATCAATCCCAAGCAGCAGGTCGTAACCGAGGGGCCTTTGACGTGCCACCAAAATGTCGACCATGGCATTATTCCCTCCATCTGTGAGGATTGATACAGGCCTGGGACACTCCGTCAATCATCCGAATCTCAATTTGTTGACTGCTCCATCGATCCGCACTAACGATTGATCGGGAACATCCAGTGTCAACGAGCGCCGAACATCGTTTACCCTCAACGCACACGTTGACAACAGGCAAAGCCGCATTTACTGACCGAGAGGGGGCAAGGGTTGTGACAGCACCTTGTACCCGGACTCATTTCCCAAGCAGTCCTGTGCTACATGGCCTAACTCTTTGCAGCGATAGCAGCGTAGTCCTGCTCCTGTCTGTCGGCGGCTCCAGCCTCCTATGTCACTTCGGCTCCGGCAGTCCCTAGAGAAATGGTTGGGTCCACCACACTTGTAGCACTTTGGGCCCTCCTGCTGTGTCTCGGGCTGCCGCGACCTGTTCCGTGTCTTTCAAGATGTTTCAGGCCCTGGCTAGCAATTTGTCAATTCCCAGTGTGTCCAATCTTGAAGACGCTCGCAGGAGCCAACTGGTGTCATCGGGAAGTCCTGCCAGAAAGGCGCATCCCAGTATGTGGTCCGTTGCTCCACCAAACGGCACTGCCAGCCTTCGCAAATCAGCCAGGTAGACATCCACAGTCTCACTTGGCTTGAGCCAACATCTGACGAACTCTTTCCAAGCGATGAAGGGGTCTATTCCAAAGGCTGTATATAG